GTACAGGCATTAAATGAAGCTCGAATGCGACGTCCCTTTTCCCTGCCTAGAATATATCCCTCACTGCTCTTCCTTTCCACACCCCAAGCATTGTGTTATCCCAGGATCTTGGACGTCTTGCAAGTTTGCACCGGGTATATCTAACTATAAAGGAAAAGGACAAAGAAGAGAAGAAGAAGAAGAAAAGTAAAGCACACGTGAAGCCACGATCCGATAGGCCCAGACCAAACCAAAGCCACTTCAGGAAAGAGATGATATTGATTGTCAAACATGGGTTGCCCAGGAAAGAAAGACAAAAGAAAAAGAAAAAGAAAAAGAGACAACGGTTGAACCTGCTACTAAACAAACATGTGGTATCGTTGAGTATTCGTTACATCGTAAAACATGGTGAACATTGTCATCAAGTTTAGAATGTTCTTGGGTAGTTGTATGTTGGCTCTAGCCCAGTGTCCCCTTCCATTGCCCATGCTCCAACGGCAAAGACATCGAACTCATAAGAGTCGACGCTTATCGGGGCCCACGGGTCAAGATGTTGTTCATTCTCAGCCTGATGAGACTCTCGCGTAGCGACGGAGGCATTTGTCTTGGCACTACCTCGGCGGTATTTTGGCCGTCGGCGGAGGCATCGGCGACGGCCATCATTATCACCGGCGGCACAAATGCTGGCAGAAGTGCTGTTTGAATTATCGAAGAGTTGAACGTTGGTTGCCGTCAGTTCCTGCGCAGGTCCGTAGCTGTGCAGGTCGTCACTGCAGTTGGATTGTGGGGCACCGTCTGTCTGGACCATGACCCAGTCTGTGCTGTCGTCACAGCAAGATGGAGACGACGAAGACGGATATGTATTCACATACGGAAAGGAGTTGGCATCATCGACGTTGTAGCCATCTTCTTCCCGCTTGCAATCGGCTCCTTTGCCTTGGGGAGATTTGGTGACATGGCAGGCCGTTGATGGTCGAGGCGGCCGGTGAGCTAGGTTGGCACGGCGAGAGCGTTGGAACGGCATTCTCACAAGTCAGGTGAGTTGTTCGCAGAGCGATTTTGCAGCTTCGGCCGAAGTAGAATGCGTGCTTCAATTTGCAATAAAAGCCGAAGAGAATGCACCCGACGTTTTCGTTTGGATCGTGTCGGTTGGGGACTAGTGTAAGTTGCTTGCTGTTATTTGAGGAAGGTCGGCAGCAACAAGAAAAAGACAAAGCGGAGGGAGTGTTGGAATTTCCAAGGACTCCAGATGCGAGTAACCTCTTAAATTTAATATTCCAAGTGCTTGGTTATGGAAGAAGATGGACTGTGAAGGACAGAATGCTCCTAAACGAATGATTTGGGGGAAGGAAGTAGGCGGGCGCTCTGTGACTTTATAGCTGGGAAGGGCCAACCACGGAAAGCGACTTGCAGTCCCAGGACGTGCACATACATACCAGTTGACATGTATATGCTCATGCAGGGCAAGACGAGCAAGCAGCAGGCCGCGAGTAGCTTGAGACACCAGACTTCACCATGGAAAAGCACTGGCAGGTAAGTCACTGCGAGTCGCTACGAGTCGGGCACCGGGGGATGGATCGCCAAGTGTTGATTAGGCTGGCTGACGCAAAAGCGATAGTCTGCACGAACGTCGACGCAGGAGCCAACAAGGGGCCAACATGGAGCCCGTGGCCATCGGCCTGCATCGGCCAGAGCTTGGGCCAAAATTATGGACGGCGGCAATGGGAAACTCGAAAGCGCATGTCACGCGGGCGGCTTGATCGCTGGCACCAAACGTTGGGCCAACGAGCATCAACAGCAGTGGGAAGTGTCAACAAGCACTGCGGGTAGGGGTTGTGCGAGTGTTGCCAATACCCCGGTGAGGTCATGTCAAGTCGTCCAGTATCCATGTCCCGGCGGTTTCGCCTCACTTTGCTCCCCGGCCGGCGGACCTTGGCTCTGTTCCCTTCGTTCCCTGTCGACCGCTGACCCACGTTACGATCTCCATCCGTGTCGACATCATTACAATGTTTCCGGCTAAGGGAATCAATCGTCCTAGCATTTACGGGAAGAAGAGACTTGAATCTCTGACACCATCGAAGGTCCCAGGAAAGTATGGGACTTCTAGAGTACTAAGGCTTGACTGTGATCAGAGCCGATCCGACGGCGGCCTGTAGTGCAAGATAGATGTCCTGTCGTGGCTGTGCTTAAAGAGAACCCCTAGGTAACTCTTAGACACCACCATTCGTGATGAACTGACTTGTTTGTAAAACAGGAAGCGTTCACGTCGGGTAAGATGTCCGATCCGAACCTTTTGGCATGCTATTATTGACCAGGTAGGGGGGAGCTTCTCCGATGGCCGGCTACGAAACTTGGATCAACAAAATATCGGCGCCCCATTCAGACGCCACAGAAATTCTCGAATGGCTGCATCTCTTTATCCTGAGTTGTCCAAGTAAGTGGCTTGCCAGCAGGCCAGTCTTGGTAATTTACGTGATGGTTGAAGTAATGCCATCGTCCCGATAGGAGAGCTCCGACAAGATCGCTGGGGTCCGGCAAGGCGCATTAGGCACGTCCCCTCGCAGCTGAACGGTTGCCAATAATAAGAGAGCTATGGCCCGGTTCTTCTGGAACTCGTCTGCTCCATACTTGGAGAAGACATCATCAGTCAACCCTGTCACACCACTAGTGAGGCTTTACAAGGTGCCGACAACGCAAGTCCCCTTCCCTTGGAATCGGCTAGGCTGCATTCACCGAACAGAGAAAACAACGCAAAGACCCCAGTTTCCAACCCGAAGCCAAGCTCCCGCACACTTAGCCGGACGGCAAACGAATCAAGCCTAGTTTAACCTAGTTGGGTCGTGGCTCGGCTCGGAGTGATTATTCTTGAATGCACGTCATGGGCTCCAGGCAGGCCATGCCCCCAGCACCTCCAGGTGTATGTTTCGCGATGGGCAGTCGATTGGATGCAGAAGTGTCGTATGCCCCTTTCCCTAGAGCGTACCGGGTATAAGGAGAATGTGTCCAACCGCCGCTGCAGTACCGAATGTGAGTACTACTTTTAGTTGCATCATTACATGGGTACAAAGTACGATGTGGCTAATTATACATACGCCTGCATGCAGCGCTCACGGGAGGGTGTCGGTGTCCTAAACCAGAGAGCTCAAGAAAGAAAAAAACAAGAACAAAGCAACCACATCAAGAGGGAAAACCCGCGCTGTTGCCAAGTAAGTGTGAACTAATTTTTCAGGCACATGCAATTGATGATAATAATAGCTCAGCACTTTTATCCAACCGTCCTTGGATGGTTCCTGAGGGGCCAAAACAGCCTTGGAAAATCCTTGGAAATCTTGACCCCCTTTCCAAAGAGCAACCAGTCAGCCGCCACCTTGCATAGCGAGTTTGACAAAGAAGCCATCACTTGACAAGAGCGCCAAGAGAAGAGAGAAAAGATGGCTAGAGCCTCGTTATGCAATTGGTAGCTTGTCTGGCAGGAGTGCAGTAATATGCACACACAAAACCACACGACGGGGTTCATGTTCCTGCTGAGGGGCCGTGCTACCACCTGTCTGGCTCTGCACACTAGGAAACCAGGTTGATGAAGACGGGACTGGATTGTTGTGATGCTGCGCAGCCGATACAATGCCTTGAAGAGATGAAGCCTTGCTCTGAGTCTCTGAGGATCGCAGCCCCACATTGGCGTTTATCGTTTTAGTTCCAGCGACCCCCCGAGTCTACGGGGCATTGGCCACTAGAAAGCCACCAACACCCTCCACAAAGCCTGGTCTGCTGCGCCCAGTTTCTACTGCGCCCACTTCTTCTGCCGCTTCTCGAAGCCTACCACATCGGGTTCAGCTGATCAACCATGAGTGAACTTTGCATATCTTTGATGCAAGGCTCGTTATGGGGGCCACGATTCTCACTATCCATGCCCCTTGATGTCACAGCATTGGATAGTGCGTCTTCATCATGACCTGGCCGAGGAAAGGATAACACGGCACGGCTGTTGGGATCCTGGGTCCCCGGTCGACTCGTCTGTCAGACCGCTTTGGAATTGCATCAGCATGGTAAAATCGCTCATGTCTTGCCCATTTCGTGATACATCGCGGGGGATGCTTCCCACACATGGCGGCACGAGAACGGACTGTGATCATCCTCCAGCTCCAGAATTGCTGGGGCCATCGCTTATCCATACAGTCATGTTGGCAGCTGATTCTGTTCATGGTGGCCGTCAATGAAAACAGGTTCGGCGCGTCCGAAGCGGAGTAAAACAAACAGCTTCTCCCAGCTTCCCACACACGTACAGGAAGCCCTCAAATGCAAGTTCAATGCGCAAGGCGGCCAATGTAGTGATGCTGCTATTGTATCTGCGGGTAGTCATGTCATTTGTACTGTATCGATGATGGGTATGATGCAAGATCATGGCCACGCAAGCTAGTTTCTGTCGGGTTCACCGAGAATGAAACCATGCCAAATATGGTATTGAACAGCCCCGAGAATTAACGACGTTCAATAAGTGGTGGCTGACCAAATACGGCTTGAGTTGGAAGCCTCGACCGGCTTTGGATCTGTCCCAACTGAGCAAGAAATGTTTTGTCACGCTACATAACAGGATAAACCGAGGGAACATTGCCAAATGCAAAGGACTGTGAGTTATAATCAAGGAGATGGCTAGTAAGTTACGTAGCCAGACAATGGCCCGCCGCTTCCTAAGCTTGCAGCCGTCCACGTTCCACGGCTTTCTGCCTTCTCTCTCCTCCCTCCCTTCTCTGCTTTTCAGTAGGCATGGCATCTTGTATCGGCTATTCTTCCCGTATTAAATAACTGCCTTCATTGAATGAGTGTGCTTTGATGAAAGACCGTTTGTCAGCCCTCCAAAACTGCTAACAAGCAGGGGCCTGAAAGTTACCACAACTCTTAGTCCCCGAGACAGCTCCAAATAGTAGGACTGGAAGCAGCAAGCCGAGAAAGACTTAATCGGGTATCCAACCAAACATCAGCAAGTATCAGTCAACAAGTCATGGCTCATGATCCTCGTTACCTCACATTGGCCTTGAGTACCCGTTGGGTCCTGGTGTTGGCGGGGGCATATTTGCAAAGTCCAAGTTTTCAGAGTGCCAGGTCCAAAGAGGAGCCAATTCTCCCATTTGGGCAGTTGTCAAATTTTCAATGTCAAATTCTGGACCCGGGTCAACAATTTGTTGTTGGTAAATGCCACTGCCCAACCCCGTAGGATTATTTATTGTGGTGAAAGAGGGCCTTGTATGCTCGTCCATAGGAGGAGGGGGTAGACTCTCAGAGCCGCTTGGCCACCTCTGTGACGCTTGTGGTTCATCCGCAAAATGGGAGGATATCGGCATTCCTGGGTCATTGAATGAAATATAGCCGACGTTCTGCGGCATCTCTTGATTCTCATACTCGGAAGTACCGTTGTTACTGTAGTTGACGTGCTGAGTTGCCATTGTCTGGTGCGCCAATTGGGCGGGTATGGGCGCTACCATGGAGTTTGGCATGGGAGCCGTTGGTAGGGGGGCGGCAGCTACGACTTCGGCAAGAGGCCTCTCAACCCGATTTGTGGCAGCTACCGCAGCCGGAGGAGGCACAACGGGTGTAGACACTTGGAGAACTGAAGACCTTTCGTGCTGGATAGGGTCAGATGGTGGCGGTGATCTGATATTAACCCTCGCGCGCTTTACTTGACGTTCCAAGTCTCTGCGAGGAACGGATTCGGGTAGTCTTCTCACAAGTCTTTCAAGGATGTCGTAGGAGGTTTTGGATGTTTTTGAGATCGCATTCAGTTTCTTAAGCATGTCGACGGCGTCGCCAATTGATGCCAAGACATCGGCACGATTGGATATAGTATATTCTGTGTCTTTGAGAATTGCGGTGCACAGGATGGCAGCAGTATCGAAAATCGAGAAGATGATGAAATGCAAGCGACCGTCACGATTGTAGATCTTATCAACCCATCGGCGTAAAGTCTTCATCAGTTTGAGACTATACCAAACGCCAACGGATCGGATGTTGAGTTCGTCGGGGTCAGAATTCCAGGTGTACTGTTTTACCATATAGTGCCTGATTGGGTTTAAAATTAAGAGACATGCCATGGTGTAGACATAAAACCTGTGTGAAAATAACCAGGCACATTTATCATCTTTGCTTGTGTCAGGATTCTCAAACGCGTATTCAGGTGGGAAATCGTCCACCCATTTCTCAATGATGGCTTTGTACTCTTGAACTTCGCACGGGGAGATTATGTTCTTGGGGGCGCTAAACCGCGACGCTAATTGGCGAGTCAAACCAGACTGCATCTTCATATGTTGCAGGGGAGACACAATGTGGCCCTCCAGTGTTAATTCGGGAAGTTCGGCATCGCAGTCGGCTCGATGTATGATCTTGGGCCTAGATAGGCCAGAAGATATCTGCCTGGCATTGAATAGTCAATACGAGGCAGAAAGAGAAGACAAACAAGCACAAGCTGCAAAACAGAGGTGAGCTTACCAGTCCCAAGTATCCAAAATGCACCATAACCTTCTGCGCATTTCGAGGTCAAATTCACTGACGGTACCGCGTGCGGGCTCCTTATGATAGCCCAACTCATTGGCCTCCAAAATGGCAGCACTTAAAACGTGCCATGCCTCGAGGAACTTGGCTTCTGCTTTATACCAGTAACAAGAATGCAAGAGCCTCTGGACATTGAGGTAGTGATAGTGCCCAACGGGGATGACACTGGCAAGTTCTCTCATGGCTGCATGGAGCTGATCAGACACCACGTCCATGGTGTCTCCCAGTTCCCTCTCCAGTGCCTTTTCGGTGGCATTTTCCACATGCTGTAGAGCACACGCGCAGATGATAGCCAGTAGACATGTGTATTGGAGCGACAGCGGCCGGCTTTGCGAGCGCCTATCCCACCAGATGTGGTAGTCCTGCAAGAAGACGGGTGGGTATATGATATAGTAGTGATAGTTGATGTCGCCGAGGAAATGTTGCATAAGAATGTCTGTATAAAGGAATCGTCAGATTAGATAATCAACTCATTCATAGCAGATGATAATTCGGAGAAGTAATTGTCAGCAAGGTAGTTGGAAGAGGAAGGACTTGCCCATGGATTGTCGCTGGGGAAGGAGCTGCAAAACCCGGCGCATCTGGGGGGACGAGTCGGCAGCGACAAAATCTTGCTTGGGAGCTGGCTTCTCGGACTGTGCAGCATCATAATTCACCTCATTAGATCGACTGACATCAAATAGCGTGCACAACTTGCCGTATCTGCTGGGGCGTGGGATGGGAAGCAGCTGGCGACCGGATCAAAAGCAACCATTTATGCGCAACATACCACTCCATGATCAATTCCCAATGTGGCGTACAGACGGGTCGCCAATGCGTCAAATCCGGTGCCATCTTCATCGTCGGCTTCGGCAGTGCCCCGATTAGAATAATCGTCGTGCGTCCGCTTCAGCTTCTCCGTCAGGTCGTGGGCTGGTGTGTCCAACATGGGGTTGGAGTAGTTATAACGACACTCATCGGCTATCTTGCGTCGCTGGCACCGATCGCATGGCCACTCACGATTGCACTGAAAGAAAAGGGCATTAGTTGGATTTGCTATTTGTGGCTCACCAGCATACATTGGGTACAATTCAGGTGAAGCAGCGCGCTCATTCTTCCATGACGTCTGCTTCTACCATCACTGTGCAGCATGTCCATCATTCTCCGCTGCGGAGCATGGCTGGCTGTCAATTGGGGGAAGCGGGAGAGAAACGACGGTGTATATGGATGATTGTGTGGTTTTGAATTTTCAGGAGCTGGCATTCGCGGTTCGATATGCACTCACCTTTTGCTTTCGTCGCTGACACTCGGTGCAAGCAGAGCGGTTGTACCCGGTCTCGCGATTGGAATCGTCTACCGGGACACTTGTAGATGCGGCAGCGGCCATGGTTCTGACCTCACATGCCCTTTGGATGAGACTTGGAGAGGATGTTACGATACGACGAGAGCACGGCGGCAATATGGTGCTTTGAATCGAAACAAAGTCAAGTTTAACACCAGAGTGTGGAGTAGGATGCTTGCTCCCTCACTCACGCGGCCGGATCGGCCGTTATAACCTCCCACTTCCTAGTTCATTTGCGTTTATTCTAGGTCAGTCCGTTCTTAGTTTGTACGGCCGGTGAATGATACCCCGTACGCGCATCATGGACCCGGACAGTGCATTTCCTACCTGTCTCCATGTTTCTTGTCGGTCCTGTCTTGGTCTCGTCGGGCCAGCTCTGGAGCTTCAGAGCAGCCCACCACCAACTTCCGAGGATTCCAGCTGTCAGCCAGCAACTGGGACTCCGGACCTTGCTAGTGGCGCCCAATCATGATGCTGTGCAGCCATCCTCAGAGCTAGTCAGAGCTAGGACCCGAGTCGATTGTGGGTGGACTGACTCCCTTGTCGAACCGTCCTTGTCCAAATCTCGGAGTATGGAGTTGAACTCGACATGCCAACATGCCAGTTATTGGGACTGGTGCATCGTCCAGCAAGCATACATACATGTATGCATGCGCAGGCGCTGTCGTTATGGTTGCTTGCGTCTCTGCGGGGAAGTTGCATCTTTTACGACGAGTTCACCTCAGGATAGCCTCATATTTGCATTGCCTGTCCTCGGAACCGAGCACGGAACGCAGAGCACCCTGACCACCGGTCAATCGTCTTTGGGGCTGACAAGTTTTTGCTTTTGCAGCCAGTCCACCATGCAGTGTGCGGCGTGAAGGCGCAACTGTTTCGATGCCCTCCGTTCAGTTCAGACCTGCTGACTATTTCATGACTGTACAATATTGTTCTCCGTACTCCGTCGACAGCCTAGCTGATGCGAGGAAGCTGAACTTTTCAACCCTGGCTCTGGTCGCACATCCGGTGCCGCACCCGCGCCCCGATCATGGGAACTTCTGGCCCCCACCGTCCATCCGAATGTTACCAGCTCATCTAGAACTGCATATTCCTTTGGAGAAACCCGTCTTACCAGATACAGTTGGAAGGGTGTCCTCCGTCCAAAGTACATACGCCACCATGCATGACCGTTTGTTGTTCTCTCATCCTCCCCCCCCCTTCACAGGATTCGATTCGGGACTTGCAGCGAACCTTGTCAGCCCGTCTCCAGACCAGATGTTCGGGTCGCTCATGCCAGATCTTGCCCAGTCGTGTCAGGGCACCAAGAGGACATGCCATTTGATTGCCCACCTTGGCCGGTGTTTGCTGGTACCGAGACTCTCTTAGCTGGCATCTAAGCGCCGATGACGCCCGTCAATTGTGTCCAGAAAAACTTTCCCAGACAGGGTCTTTTCCTGTCAACTCTAATTGGAGCCGTTTCCCACGCGGGACTATCCCTGCCGATTCCGTCCCCATTGCTTGTTGCCTGATCATCGGACCAATCCAGGTCAACTACCGATGCTGTAGATCCCTGACTGCGGTCAAGGGGTTACTCAGTTTGGTGGGCCGCTGCCTTTTGCACAGTTACTACTACTCCGTACGGAGTAGCTTCAACGGCTATTCTTACAGGTACATGAATTCATGTGTTCGGATTGGGGTATGGGGACATGCAGACTTTTCTTCTCCATTATTCCAACCTACAGACTACGGAGTAGACAAGAGACGAAAACAGTCAAGCTGTTTCAGACCTTGCTCGTTCGTCAGTTGAGTACCGATCACAAAATCCTAGGGGAAGGCTCGTGTCCCATGGCCCCGGTCATTGGTAACACGTGTCCCTATGCGCTCCGGTGGACGTACGACAGCGTACAAAATGGTTTGTGCGTAACAAGATGAATAAGTTTCAGGAAATACGCTGCCAGCGGATTGGTTGATTTGAATACAAAAATCAGCCTGGGCATGCGGCAGCACCAGCCGGACGAGAGGAGAGCCTTATCCACGATGCTGAAGAAAACAGCCCACAAATATCCTCCATTCATTAATTCTCCTTTATGCTATAACGTCCAGGTAAAGTTCCCTGCAGGAGTAAACTCTTTTTTTGCCAATCCTTTGTCAACTCCTCTCCGGATGCAACATCCCCTCCGTCTCAATTCCTTTCTGGACATATCGGTATCTGAGGATGCCCACCGAATAACTTTGCCTATGGGTTCGTGCTCACTTCCTTTCCATCTAGCACTCTCATCGTCTTCCACGTGCTGCATATCATCCACAGTCTCCTTTCCGGATTGGGATGTTTCCTCCTTCCCGCACGTCAGTCCCATGGCATACCAGGTTGCCGCGGCTGAACCCGCAACGATGGAACTTCACCAGCGTAAAAATGCGCTGAATCGACATTCATGTCTCCGTACGGAGTACAGAGTACATGCATTGTGTGAGTCAGGTTTGAGACATTTTCATCAGTTGAACGGTTGTTTGTTTGAGCGGTGAATTTAATAGCGCAACATGGCACATCTTACTAGTATTCACTGTCACAAGAACGATCATCCGACGCACATTGAGCAGAGGGCATTTAAGACATGTGGCTTGTGTGTCCGTACAAAGCGTAATACGGGGAAGGTGAAAATTTTTCTACAGGTCCATGGCTACCTGCTCCCAACTGCCGTAGGAGTGTAGATGCGTAGGTCATCATCCGGTACACGCAAAGATATTCCATTACTACCTAGGCATGTGGTAATAGTAAGTTGTCCAAGAAGCGAGTGACTTGCCAGCCAAATTTCCTATATACCTTTTCCTGTGGTTGCATTCGTTCTAGTTTAGTTAGTACTATTTTTGTAGCAACGTGATCTTGTATTGGGATTAAGGCTCGCCCACATTCGTGATGCCCATCATATCGCACTCTGATTCACGTCGAACACATGTTTAAACACGTACTTTTGCATGATTTTGGTTCAGAAGTTCGTTTTATTGCTCGTAAATGGAACCAAATGCCGCCTCGAGTACTACTAGGTGCCTTTGCAAAAAAAAAAAAGAAAGAAACCCTCAAGTAAAAGGACCGCCTCTCCACTCCAATGACGCCTCCCATATGCAAATATACAAACCAAAAATATGCCACTAAACACACGAAACCAATCAGGCCTCCACACCAGCTATGCTGCCTTTCCTCCTCAAATCACCAGCCTTCAACTTCCTGACCACCTGATACGACCTATCGAGCTCATTCTCGACGGCACATCGAATCCTCAGCGCCGCCACTGCGGGCCATACACTCCTCTCGCCCCTCAAGATCCAGTAATTCAGCGTATCCCTCGTCGGCGTCTCCAAAAGCCGTACGAAGTCCCAGGCCGTAACTTCTGGTACCAGCGTCATGGAGGCCGCCGGTATTCGCTCATCCACCAAAAATCGCCTAATACTCGACGGAAGTAGTCGCAGCGTGTCGAGTTGTCTTAAGCGGTGACGAACTTCGAGACCGACCATGCGGACGAAAAAAGCGGAGAGTTGTGTGGTTTTGCTGCGGGATAGGAGCGACGGGCCGTGCATGTCAGACTGCAGGAAGGGGATGAGGTAGGGGCGGGCTTGGCTGACGATGAAGTGGTTAACATTGAAAAGTTCGGCGATGCGTTGGAGAGGAGAGTCCCGGTCCGTGTAAGAGGTGTGTGTCCAGTGGCGGAAGTTGGTAGTGTTGGCAGCGGCCCATGGCACGATGGTGCCGTGGACGTCTTTGGCGAGGATTTTGACTTTGCGGGAGCCGTAGAGCGAGGGAGACGAGGCATTAGATGCTACGGCGGCCGTCCATATCAACTGGTTTCGCACTGTCAGTTGAATGCTCAGATATAACGCGTGGATTGGGGAGCGGGGAGTAACTCACAACGTTCGGGGCCGTGATATAATTCATGAGAGTCGGCACGCCACCCTGACTCTCCGTAGCAACAGTAATGTTGAGGACCCTCTTACTCCGATTGTAGGCCTCTTCAAAGGTTAAATCACCCACATTCGCCCTTACACAATCCTCCAGCACTGTAACATCCAAAAAGTATCCTTCGCGAGAAAACCTCCGCAGTCGTCGCATCAACGTCGCCCATCTCGATTTGAACGTCTGTTCACGGGGTATCACTCCACTCTCTGACCTGCCTTTCGATGCAAACGCCGAGACGTCAATGCCGTCGCCTGTCAAGATACTGGGTAGTTCTTCTTCTGTATGTATAGCCACCAAGGCGGCTATCAGGGCACCCGTCCCTGTTCCAGTAATGATGCGAGGAAGGAGACCGCGCAAGAAGAGGGCTTTGGCAATACCAAGATGGCATAATCCAAAGATGGATCCACCTTGCAGGACTAGAGTGCTCCGGCCGAATGCCTGTCTGGTATCATGAATAAAATCGAGTTTCATCTGATTCGTCAATACGCTCCCTCCACCTTGCGAGTTGGACATGAATGTAGTTGGCAGTGTGCTGATGTCATCCACAGTCTCCGCGACTTGTGATATGTACTCCTCAATCAGATATTTGGTCCCCGAGAAGGATCGATTGTACAGCTTAGGCACAGTGATGTTTCCTAAATTGCGGATGAGGCCGGATCGGAGAAGGTTGACTAATTGCTGAAACTGGCTCTCTTCACGAGCAACAGCCAAAGAATGCAAGCGTTCGGTGATGAGCCTCCAGTCGTAATATTTGGATGTAGGGTTGTTCCTCCTGCACCAAGAAAATGGTTAGCAAGGCCGTTCCTCAGTGCATCGGCATGGCCGGTGAAGCGCCGCGTTACCATAAGTCTAAACCAAGCAAGCTATCCAAATGGAGAGCTGCCTCTTCCCAATCCTCGAAGCTCTCTGCATTGCGCAACAGTTCCAGCCACAAATCCACAGGATGCCTGCCGGTATACCAGCTCACGAGCTTCTGTACCAGTGTCAGTAGGAGAACCATGACGAGCCAGCCAGCCAGGCTCACGGCAAAGGAGCAACAGACAACAAACAAAAATGTTTTGAAAGGAAGGAACGCGAAGCTTAAAACCAACCTTGATCCAGAACGTGCCAACATCCACAATCACTCTCCAGACAGCTAGGACAGCCCCCATGATGTGCCGAGGGTGACGAGATCACAGGCCATGCAGCCGATAGTAACACTTGGGCAATGTAGATCGGTGGGTCTGGTCGCCAGAGAGTCTTCAATGTTGACGGGTTGCTACTCTCAGACAGAGGCCTGCGTGATTGGAAACAGCATCTTAAGGCTGTGCGAGAGATGGCGAAGTGTGGTTGCCTTGTTTTGTCCAATTGATGCCGAGCGGCACATGCTGAGCCTGCAAGTCAAGGCTTGTTTCCGACTTGGGACGGTGAGCATGTGATTGATAGATGGGGTGTCATTGATGCCGGGGATGGGATGAACTTGCCTAAGCTTTCCCCAAGCTTCGGAGAAGGAGGCGCTAATAAAACAACCCCCCACCACCCGGAACCGCTTGATACTACGCACCTAAAAAAAAAAAAAGGTACTATTACCACCACCACTACTAGTACTTACCTAGCAGGTACCTAGGCAGCTGCATGTACCTCTTCGTTAATTTCGGATCACGTCGAACATCGAAACGATACACTCGACTGACAACGGATGCGACAGGCCGGAAATCTTTGCTCCTGCGGCTGCGGCCCGGTCGATATCCTAGCTTAGTTATTGTCTTCTTGATCGGACCGAGAGTTCTTGCTTGTGTTTTGCGAGACAATGAGTCCATCGGCCGCATGACGGCGTCAACAGTCTACGCACATGTACCTTGGGAAATCTGCCTGGCTTCTCTCAAACTGCGTTGACACATCTAATATGTATGATGTGCTGCTTGGGTTCGCAGTTTTCTCTTCCAAAATCTTCAACGCCTTATAAGTGGTTATACAGGATAGATAATAAGTAGACTCCATGATAAATAGCCATTTCCACTTCCAAACCCCCTTACTCATCCTCATCCTCGTCTATGATGTTTCGCCGCCTAGCTCTTGCAGAGGGCTCGCCAGGTTCGACCTCATCTCCTTCAGCATCCTCATCATCATCTGGATCCGCTGTCCTCTGCCGCTTGTTGCGAGGTCGTCGTTCCTCCTCGTCATCATCATCCAATATATCCTCATCATCTTCTTCTGCTGCACTGTCCATTTCTTCCTCATCACTTCCCACCAGAAAACCGTCATCCAAATCGTAGTCCTCACGGCGTCCAACACCCTGTGGGAGATCGTCGTCAGAGTCATACTCTGGCCGGCGCTTCTTCGGTTTCGTAGATCCTGGCATGCCTCGCTTGCGTCCAGATCCAAAGCCACGTCCACCTTCGAGGTCTCCAATCGATAGACCCCCGCGACCAGACCGTCCGAGTCCACCATCCATCTTCAACGCAGCGTTTTCGCGTCGACGCTGAGCCTTCATCCTCTCCTTTTCTGCCATTTCGGCCTGTTTCTTCTGCAATTCAGGGTCTCTGGTGGTACGGATAATCATGTCACCGTCGTTCACCGACTTGCTGGCTTGTGCCATCCGCTCTGCCAATACCGACAGCGCGTCATCTCCCACTGCCTTATTGGGCCGCACGTTGAACTGCTCCGTCAAGTGACCAACAGTCAGTAGTAGATTGCTGCCGAGTTCTGCCGCTGCCGCGTAGTTGTGCCCATCGTTAAGCTCGTTGTATGGTTGGTCCATTCCCGGCGCGAGTGCCTTCTTTTGTATTTCGTAATGCTCGCCACCGACAGAGATGGTCACTGAGCCATCACTCCACCTGTAAATATTGGTGTTGCTCTGTAGATCTCCAGTGCTTGCATCTTTTCGGATACGAGCGACGTGTTTCGGTCTGTCGGATTTCGCATTGGCAAGATCAAAATCGCTTGGCTGGAAGGTTTCCGAAACGTATTCCTCGGGCATGAATTTGATGAATTTAGGGACTCTCATAACACGAAGCTGATTTGCACAGTCAGTCTAGGTTACAATTGATATCGCGTCATGAATAACTCAAGCCCTCTTACAATTCCGTCTTTGGGGTTTGGGATCTGATGGCGATACGTCTGTACCGCCATGACAACCCGATCTCGCGTCTCATGTGGCAGGCCATCCTCCCCATCATAATCTCGTCGCCTCGCATCGGGATCTTCATCAGGGTCCGAGGCTAGTTCGTCATCGTCCAGAACCCGCGGCGCTCTCGGCTCTTCGTCGCCCTCATCGCCAAAGAGGTCATCGCCGACGGTTTCGTCGAGACCATCGAGAGGGTCCTCAGAGTCAGACATGGTGTTAAGGGCTGCTTTTGCAAGCTACGAGTTGAAATTTGTGGTTCGTAGTCGATAGGAGCTGCACAACGTGGCCAAAAGTGGTTGAGCTTGCTGGAGGGCGAGATTTGAAGGTTGCGCAGAACTGTAAACGGCAGCCATCCGCAAGCGCGCAGCAGCGAGGTCAAAATTGCGCACGGGCCACATCGGGACTAGACCAGTCTCACGACTTGCACCTTTTAGCGACGTGGACCTCTTCCTCTAAAAGGCTCACTGCATGCAACAAAAATCAGGATTGATTATCTAGGTTGGAAAGATTCAATTCTTACAGGCTCCTTGGTCTGATTCGATGCATCCAATCATTGAAGAAGCTCTCTAACTGTAATGGCGTTCCCGCACACATTGCTGCTCCAACCTCTCACTGGAAGCAGCCGGAACTCCATCTGACTGGACAATAGACGCCAGATGTGTAGATGAACGTTTCAAATATTTTTGAGCATTGAGCCGTGAGCCGATGATGCCCCCGCGCTGCGGTCAATTCATTCGGAGGCGTTGTAGCTGCCAAACCAAACATGGGGCTCAGGCCGGGCATTCCTTGCTGGCTTCTTGTCACTTCAGCACTGTAGGTGAACTATTCGCCTCCGATCTCCAGTGCCTGTCGCAAGCTCTTGAAATATCGTCGCAACACCGGCTCCCAAACACGACAAGTATCGTTCCCAGACTGTTTGAGCAGAGCAAGCTTCTGGCGCGAGGCATTGGCGCGACGTGTGTCCAGACCGCGGCAGGGATCTGGATCTATCTGCGCCTCTCGAACGCACCTAAGCAAATTGACCAATCAGCACGCGGCACCCCACATTTGGCCGTCACCGTCTCGTAAAGGACCCCGTCCCCCTCTCTCGCACACCAGACGTGGACTCCTGATAGAATCCCTTTGCATACTAGGCATTTGTCCACGCCGCTTTTCTTGGGTGGTATCTGCTTCTTGCCTCACGCCGACGGTTGCTTTCATTCCTTCTCTTCCTACAGCCTTGTCCGCGTGTCCGCCGCCTCGCATAAGATCCCGTGACGGGAGCTTTCGGCCCCTCTGGCGTTTCCTTTGCATTGCCGCCCTCCATCTCAGTCCCCGCCTTTTCATTCATCATGTCCAACCTCTTCTCCGGGATGTAAGTAACTGTGCTATTTCCTCCGGTTGATTTTGTTCTTTTTGCTTTAATACATACCTCCTCTGCCGTCAGCCTCTCTGCTACAGAAGACAGAAAAGACAGAAGAGGCCCTCAAGCAAGAGCCGCCAGGAGCAAGCTGGATCATCCAAGGTCAAGCCCCATTCCTCTGAGCCTCTATCCAGCAGGTCCATCTCTACTCGTTCGATACCGGCAATTAGTCCAAGATGGAGGCTGTATACTTTATAATGCCACAGGGCCTGTGAAGTGGGATTCAAGAAGGCGGTCCAGACTCTCGATGCCTGTATCAGAGACACTCCCGAACAGCCACCGCCCGTTTGCCAATTACTTGCAGGCCGGCTGCGTTCCTCTCCCTATGAGTCAAGTGGTTCAAGATAAAACTGATTGGCAAGGTATAGCCTGGTAGACCAGGTTGGCGAGACGCTCCCTCCATTCAATACCGACAGCGTCTTGCCCGCCGCGCATCAGTTCTTGCGTGGGCCCCGGCGTCTAGATAACGAGATATGTTGCAAGATCTATTGCAGAGCCGTCCTGAAACCTGAAAGAGCCTTAATACGGCATACCTCAGAGGACATGGGTTCCTCAGGGTGTGCTCATTGTTCTCTGAAACACCATTGCGACAGCCATTAGTCGGCACAAAGCTTAAATTACTGCTAACTTTGGATTCTTAGCAACGCTCGATTTCGAGGCGCTTCAACGAAGCCGCCCGGCCAAAAGAGCCCATCTCCGTCGACAGGCGGCCCGCCTGTGCCAGCTGACACTGCTTCCCAGGGCAGTCAGTCCTCGACAAATCTTGCTCCCAAGGTTCCGCCTCTGCCAAATTCCCCATCCCTCGCCCAAACGATCGGAATGGACGCATCTAGTAGCGGAATGTCCAACGCCGAAGACATCATCAATAATTACCACCTTCCCCGCCCGCTACCTTTATGGCTTAACGCCCAGTATGTCAAGCATATTGTCAAAGGAAACTTTATGACGTTGAGTGCTCGACCAAAGACTGTGGAGCAAGGAGAATGGATCGCCCACCAAGGTATGCAAAACGTTCTGAGTGATGATGTTATAATCTTCCGGCCGGCTGACTGTCCGAGGTAGTTGTCGAGCATTATCGAAACCTGTGGAATTTTGTGCGCGTGGTTCATGAGAAAGAGGATGACGGCACAAGCATTTGCAACCCCACCACTTGCCCTCGCATGTCTGCTGGAGCGTGAGTGTCAACACGGTCAACACTTCACCAAGATGGAAACACTGACATGGTACACAGAAATCATTCCTTCACATGGCTGAATAACAGACGAGAGCCTGTAGAACTTCCCGCATACGAGTACATGACGTTGATGCAACGATGGATTTCGGGTAAAATTGACGACACCGCAATCTTTCCCACAGACCCTTCCGGTGTATCATACGCCCATAACCCCAGCATCACAACGACGCCTTTATCTCAACTTTCCAACCCCGGAGAGGCCGAATACATTGGGAAACGGTCGGGCTTCCCAGAGAAGTTTCTCGAAGTTTGCCAGATGATTTTCCGTCAAATGTTTCGTGTGTACGCCCACCTTTACTGGGCACATTTCACCGAGCCTTTCTATCACCTGAACCTTGAAAAACAACTCAATAGCTGTTTCTCTCACTTTATTCTGACAGCAACTGCGCTGGACATGCTTAAACCGCAGGAATTGGAGCCGATGCAAGCCCTGATCGACCTGTGGGCAGCAAATGGGACGTTCCCACCTGAGTCTAAGGCTTACGAGTATGCTAACTTGCGGGCTGGCGAACGACTCCTTCATCTTGCAGGTGCTCAGTAAAGCTGTATAGTCGTTTTTTCTTTCGGCGTATCGCATCTGTTTTGAGTTATTTACACAACTTCGGCTGCTGTCCTGGGAACAGCATTGCCTTGTATGCATGGGCGAATGGATACACAGGAAAACAGCATATGACGTTTTGCTCTGAGTTTGAGGGCGTGTCCACTGCAGGCCAGAGGAGTTGCGAAATGGAGTTCGATTCTCAGGATGGGTAGGCGAAGCATAAGTGAGCATGAGGAGGATAGAAACAATCAAGAAATGGCGGAGCGTAGTAGACGGAATGCATTTTGGAATCATGGAAAGGTGGATGAATAGAGTCTGCCTGTACTGGCAACAAAGTCATCACCTTTGTGCGAATCCTGTTCAATTGGACTTGAGTTTGCGTGATGCTTTGGGATGGCATTTGCAATGTATCTAGTACCACATATTCCAATGCCATCATCAAGAGTATTAGGTACCTAAGTAGGTATCCAGAGCCATATCGTGATTCACCTCAACATCCATACCCTTCACAATCCCTACATATGTCAAGATCTCGATCAAAAAAATGCACCTGGAACCACCTTATCTACATATGCTGTGTCATCATATCCTCCGAACACATTTCGCTCGATGCCCAACGGCCCAACGCAGACCCCATCAGATGACTGTCCTCTTTTTAACCACCCCCCCTTCCTTTCCAAAAGAGGCGCGATCCAGACGCAGGGGCTATGCACTCACGTATCCTATCTATGCACCGTGGCCTGACCAAACCAGAGTACGACTTTCCCATGCTCCATGTGATGCGTGCCTGTTTCCCTCTCCACATGCCGTGCTTCAATGGTTTGCGTCGTGACACTGCAAAACCTATACTTTGCTGATTGCACTTTTGCGATTTGACAATTCAGAACTCGTTTTTGAGATGTCTCCTTCTGTTGGCACGATCTATTATAGGACTAGAACTGCCTTGGGTATCATGTGCGTCTCTCATCGCCACCGCTTGGACTAGGCCGCCGCCTTCGTCAAGCTATAAAAATAGATAGACAATGTACTCCCCACGGGAAACTGGATAGTTGATTTGATACTCGAACCCTGTGTTGATGCCGTGCTCACTGACCAGCCTCTGGGGACCACGAGACTGTCGATTCCATGGCTGGGTTCATGTCGCACACCCCCCTGTGGGAAGCTCTTATTTTATTTCTCTTTGGCCGATTCTCTTCTACTCCCTCTTTAAGCTTCTTCGCCCATCATTTCGCCCCTTGAAATAGAACGTGGATTTTATGCATTCATGTGGAACAAGGACAAGGGTCAGGTTAGGAAGGGCTTCTGCTGACCGCAACATATGGACGGTATGGAATGGGTAAAGATGACCGCCTCTTTGGACCAAAGTTTCTCCAAATGGGCCAGTAGGGGGGCAGTAGTTCCAAATATGGAATTCCGGTTGTTGGCAGCAGATGCATCTTGACTAATTATGATTCTTTTTTTTTCCGCGGCGAGATTTTTAGTCCCTTAGCACTTGGCTTATCTGTTTCAGCATTTTGGTGCCGTTAGCTCTGGTACGATGGGGTTATACCAGGCAGACCGATATTTTCCGAAAACAGACATATTGTGGGATCTATGAGACACGGGCTGAGATGCGGCTTGCGTTGGATTTTTTTTCGTCCTGAAATCGTCATTGCTCTACATTGTACGTCGGCTCGGTAATATTTTCCTGGGGTTGGTTGGCTAGTTAGTTTGGATGCAGAGTGTGTGGTTCCGAAAGCAACTTTGCCCAGGATTATTGACGCATCGAAGCAGGAGTGTAGAAAGACATGATTGTATACTATGAACATAGAGAGGAAGCAGTGCTCCAGATTAATCTAAGTAAGCCGTACTGTGTGGGTTGCATTCACACCGCAGTAGCAGAGTCCCTCTTGTCTGTTACTACAACGGGCAACACTTCGTCGTCACACAGGCCAACCTGGGCAGCGGGTGTGTTCGGCCAACTTGCGAACCATGGAAGCTATGCCCGAGACATGTTGGCGACTATTTTCGAAAATGGTGGGCAGAGAGAGGACTGGCACCACCAAGCTTTTTTTTGAGACGAATGTGCCAAAGTTCAAGCAGGCTCCAGTTGCGGAACTTTGGCCGGGGAGATGGATGATTGGCAGCCATGGTGACATGAGCATTACTGGCGCTTTATATAGGTAACGGCGCTTTGTCGGCCATGTCCTGTGCCTCTACGCCGGAACATGATCCGAACGGTGAGTAGTCGTCCGTTGTGCTCTGTCCCGACGTGACCATCAGTGACGATTGGCAGCGAGGCATCGCATCGCTCGTCGTAAGGGAGGGAGGCTCGGTGCCCAACTTCCCACGCTGATGGAGGAACTGAAAGCGAGAGCACGATCGACGAGCGGGAACGAGATGGGCAAAAACTGGAAACACACCGACTAACACCACGGTTTGAGATATGGGCACCATGGCCGCTCAATATGCGGCCATGAGGCACAGTGGAGCTGCTGATACCAGAACAGTTGTGTGGTTGGATCACGGCCTGGCGTGTGAGCGAGTGTCGACCAAACAAACCCAGCCCCCATCTAGAAAAAGGGCTGCCATTAGTACTCCGTACGAGCCACCGACTGAGGCGAAAGAAGAAGAAATGGTATCTGAGAGGCCGGGAGCGAGCCATTAAACGGACACTAGATTCAGCGGACGAGAACGGGTACTCCGTAGAGGCAAAGAGGATATTCCAAAGACTAGAGGGCAGGTTTGCGATTGCACGCAGAGAAGCTCGCTTGGCTGTCTTGACGGTCCATGAACGAGGGCATGCGAACAGACTAATTGGACCATCACGTCGCATTTTCTTTGAGGAGAGATGCAGTCGGTCAGGTGGTGGAGGTGGTGGTGGTGGTGATCGCTGTGGGTGTTGAGACATTTTGTACCGCCGCTGCGCGCCTCTGCGGGGAGGTACTTTCCTGATTGTACATGGAGGATCGAGCCAACCCTGGTGGCGGGCATCTCGTCGGACTAGGTGCTGCCAATGCTTTTGTGCTGCGGGAGAGCCAATCCAGAAGAGGCAAGGTCGGCTTTCTCGCGCCGTTCCTCTCGTCCACACGCTGCCCTGGTGGATGAGCAGATGCTTGGCTGGCCTCTCGCCTGATGAGCGCCATGCACCCCCTGTTGAGACCTCTCAACGGACTACCCTATTGAGGTCTGCTATTGCTGTTCCGGTGACATCCTCTGCCCAGCGCCAAAATCTTGGGCGGCCGTCTTGGAGGGCCGCCATGGGCCGACCCGGAGGGAGCCCCTAGCCCAGCGACAACAACGGCCACGGCCTCAGGGGCATGAGATGGAAACAACGAGACCCTCCTCTGATGACCAAGCATGACCCTGCCAACTATGCCACCGATGGGGCAAATAGGAAGCCAGGCCGTCGAGAGAGACCAGAGCATCATTGCCCATCACTTCAGCGTCAGACCCCCCAAGACGCGCATGTACTCTCGTTCTCCGTGGGCATATAGACTCATAGTCCACTTTGTGGGTGTTGTGGCTCAGCCTGGCAAGCCTCAGACGGGGACGAACTCAGCAGCTATGATCGAGGAGTGGAGGATCCAAGAGTTTAGGTAGTGGCCGTTTCTGCCCAACCTCCCTCCCCCCCCCCGTATTGTAGGACGGCATATGAAGTACATGCTCCGTACTTACTGCTAACTGCTTTGTATTGACGCTGATTCTCTCCCTCTCTCATGTCTCCTAGTCGAATCATGATGGCTCGGGGCTTCGTCGTATTGCTTCTCCCCAGCACTTCTACTGGTTTCGCGGGTCTGGTCCGGCGAGGGTAGTAATGGGTTCAAAGCGCACATACCACTCTCTTGCGCACCGATTTGCGCTTCATCAGATCACTGGCTGGTTGTTTTGTTTGGGGGCTCCGAAATCCGGGCTGCCGATGACTCGAATTTGCCAAGGCTTCCGAAGTGCCCAAAGGTCCAAGGTATTTGCCGAAATGTCTTGGCCGATATTGGATGACACTTCTTCACCAATAAGGTATATGGAACCCGTGTTCATGTATATGCATGAGCGTTTTTAAGTCCTAAAGGGTGAAAGAGTGGTGAGAAATCGGAGGCAGGTGGTGCTCAGCTCATTTGTCCCAGAATGGCTCAACCAGAAGTAACAGAAGAGCGATAGCGCCAAGCAAGGAGTATTGAATAGAATGCGAACCAGTGTAAACTTATTGCATGTGCCACTTTCGTAACTTTGCGTTGTGACCCGAAGCACAACACTGACCCTGGACGGAGAAAATCTGTATCAAGCACTCAACCCGGGTTCGTATGTAGTTGCATGCATACCTATACCTAGGTTACCTAGACTTCTCCTTTTCCCGTGCCCGAATCTAGTCTAAGCCATTCGAACGGGATGGGCAACGTGGTGTTGATGCTGCACTCCAGAGTCCAGACTGGGCGTTCCACCTCTAGTACTGACTGCCTTGCTTTTGACCTTTTTTATTTTTATTTTTGGCCGCAAGGCAAAATGTACGAAGTTGGCAAGAGTCGCACACCTTCACCTGGATTGGGCGTGCAAGTCATGCACTTGGCACATGTACTTACTATATGGCGATGCTCTGTCAGTCACAATCCCTGTAGAGCGGCAAGTCCATGTAGCTCACCTGGCTGATTTCGCTTTGTCTACAGAAGAAGCTGGGCACCAGCGGTCGAAAGAGCATCCTAGCCAGAGATATAAACACTAGTATGGGTGCCCAAGTTCTGAGCACGCGGATCGATCTGGACTCGTCTCCCCGCGAGGCTTGTCAGCGGACCTGGCATCTGAGTATGTCTTTGGTCCCTGGCAATGGCGGATGGGCGGTGGACCAGGACGGGCCACGGTGAGGAGAGATCCGTTTGGACCATTATGGTTGTGCCAGCCACAACTAGGAGCAGCACCTAGGGCACCTAAAGAGTTGCTTGTTTATGTTGTGATCACGCACATGTAGTGTAGTCCGTGGGAGCCGACGTATGAAAGATGATGTGCAGGCCACTCAGGGTCCTTGGTGGTCTGTAATAGGGCCAACAGTTTCACGAGGGTCAAAAGTATTGAGCGACAGTGGGTGGTAGTATTGACATCTTGTCCACGGGCTGATTGGCTCTCCCATCGCAGATTGCGGAATAACTGTTGCGGCCAGAGGAACATGGACCGAAGTACGGAGTGCAGGCAGGGCCACAGAGTTGGGAGCATGCCCTCGCAAGATTCTTGGACGTCGTAGGTGGTCGGGCTGTGCAGTCAATAACATCTTGGTTGTACTTGCCCAAGAGCATGGTTCTGGCCTGTGTGCTGTTGCCTCCGATGAGAAGATACATGTGCTTTGCCCGCGGTTGCACTAGTCGTGAAGTCGCGCCGCTCAGTCCCACTTTGCCCTCTCTCACGGGGCCTGGGGCTTCAATGCTCATTGACTCTCTCTGTCCGTCCCGCACATGGCGGCGGACCGTGGCCCTCTAGCCTCCAGTGCAAACTCGGGGAACCCCTCAGGTTTCGTCAGGTTGAGCGGTACCTATGTACCTCCGTACCTCCGTACCTCCGTACTGCCATAGCTCAGCTCTTTCCCACAATGGTCCAGTTCGCTCGCTCCTGCCCACTCACCTCCCTCCAGAGCTCACACCCGCCTCATGGTCGAGCTCTCATGGCCTCCTCCACGGCTACAACACACCACCCCATGTCATGCCCACCCGCCCGCCGTCCAGAGCCCGCACAAAGTACATAACCTATCTGCCGCCTCCCCTCCCACTTTCTAGCGTTTCTTTATTGTTCATAGCCCAATATTCATCCGTCCTATTCACGGCAAGACCTTGGTGTCCCTTGTCTTCTTCTCCTCCTTAACTTTTTTCCTCCTCATTGCAGACAGCATCCTCTTCTGCTTGCTCCGCAGCTCTTACTTCTGTGGCTCATTTATTTCTCTCGCCGGACCTACACGCTGAATCCCCCACCGCCGCAGCAACATATTGAATCTGCAATTTACTTCTTCTCGTCTATTACACGACTTTGCGAAATTTCCACAGGCCGCAATATTTATACTTACTGCTTGAGTTTGAGCTTGTATGTTTCAACTCTCAATATACCCTATTCACCATCCATCAACACGGGTGTGGCCTGAACCCAACTGCAAGAAAGCCGTCCTACACCACTAAGTTTGATGCCACTGCTGTGACTTATTCCGCCACCCTCCAGCAATCTCATCTTTGGCTTCCCTACCTCACATGATTGGTAACTTCTGTTGCTTATCTTCGAGTCCTCCGAGCTTGAACTTGCGTGCCCAACCCCCTGCCATAACTTTTCCAGTACGTCAGACGCTTCCACACGATGCACTAATGCTGCGTTATTAGGTCCAGGGGTCTCGTAACAGCCAGTCTTCCGTTCGCATTTTCCCTCCTACAGTCCGCTTCTTCCTTCTATACATCTATCGTCTTTTGAAGCTTCTGTCCCGAGAAGCTTGACCAAATTCCATCACTGCAATGGCCTCACAGTTTGCTATGCAGCCGTTTTACAGATCCACGCCTCTGACAGTGGATACCCACCACGCACAACAGAAGTATTTTGAAGAAGAGGACAAGAGCGGTGTATTAGACGACGGGCTTATTGAGCACAGCACTGTTGACTCCGGCCTGGAATTGTCACCACCAATGGCCAACAGCCGAAGAGAGTCCTTCGCTGTTGGTAGCACGCTCTTCTCCCCCAAGACGGAAGATTGGCAGTCTGTAGATATGCAGTCGGTGCCATCCAACCCTTTCCCGGACCAGAACGGTGGAAACAGTGTGAACGGCCCTCCCAACCCTTTCATACATCCACAGGGCCAAGTTTTTTCTCAACACGGCACTCAGTGGAGTATGAGTAATAACTCGGGGCCTGAAAACTCCATGCAGCAGTTCAACAATGTCTCTACTGCATTCGATTCTAGCAACTCTGTCTTCCAGCGACCTACGCAAAACCATAATCCCTTCCACAGTACTGGCAACATGTTCGCATCGCTTCACCAAGGGGACCAGTCTATTCCAACCTCTCCACAGAAGGAATGGATGGTTCCCGCGCAGACAATGAATAAGAAAATGCAACCTGGGAGCCCTATAATTCGGTCACATAACGATCTGAGACGAGGAGATGGTATCCGCAAGAAGAATGCCCGCTTTGACATTCCGGCTGAACGTAACCTGAGCAATATCGATTCCCTTATTTCCCAGTCAACCGATGAACAAGAGATCAAGGAGCTGAAGCAGCAAAAACGCCTGCTGAGAAATCGCCAAGCAGCGTAAGTCTCTTGTCCGCCCCCCCGTCCTTACCCTTGCCCTGCATATACTAATATATCTCGGATAGCCTCGACTCAAGACAGCGGAAGAAGCAGCACACTGAGCGACTGGAAGATGAGAAGAAGCACTACACTGCACTCATCACCGACATGGAGGAGGATATATCGGCTTTGAAAGAAAAGTGTGAGGGACTCATGCAAGAGAAGCAAGATCTCATGAGCTTTGTTGAAGGGCTACGCCTTGAGAAGGACGAAATGATTCGTGCACACACTCTCGAGACTGGCGAACTACGAAAAAAGGTCAACGTCCTCACAGAACACGTCCAGAGGCTAGAAAGCCAATCCCTGGCTACTTCAGGCCCTGGCGTAAACGGTGGCATCCCCGATAACTTTGGCATGGAAGGGATAGGCATGCCGGGGGCTTGGGACAACCCGAACTTCCTCAATGACTATTCCACTGAACCATTACATGTTAGACCGCACGTCTCGCTTGCACCAACCAAGAAAAACGACAGTGCCATCATGCCCCTTGAGAGTGAGAAAGGTGCCTCTCAGGGAGGTTTACTGTTCATGCTCTTCCTCGTCGGCGCATTTGTCATGTCCAGCCGGTCCATGCCGACCATCCCTCGCGTATCTGAAGATGTTCGCGCAGCGTCAGCAACTCTCCTTGACAATGTCCTCAAGGATGCTGGAATCAACTCGGGATCAGCGGGAATGCCAGCCATTGCCCCCCAACCATCTGGTGCGAGTTGGGCTCATCCCCATGTCACTGACACAGGCATGGGCGACATAAGCATGGAAGGCACCGCCCCATCGATGCTTGAAGAGCTGGGCGATTCGTTGACACAACCAACACAGGATCAGATGAACGAACAGATATTTTCCCTCTCAGCAGCACAATATGACGGCGTAAGCAATCAAGAATTTCTACAACACGCCCCAGAAAGATCTACCAGCCAGGGTCGCAAGAACCTCGCGGATGCCCTGGCTGCAATGCGTGCGGCCAACAAACAAGGCGGTGCTGCTGACGTATACACACGCTCACTTCTCTGGGATCAAATCCCCAGCGACGTTGTTCGAAACTTTGCTAAAATGGTCGCGGAGAGCAGCCATGCAACGAACCGCAATGATTACGACATGAAATGATACAGCAAAAATGAACCTCATGATAACGAAATATGACGGCCCTGCAACCTTTTTAATGACTGTTTTCTGGGTTTTCTTTGATTATCCTTTTATTTTGCCATTTTATTTTCTTCTACTTCTTTTTACCATTGACGAGTATACTTATTCTTGACTGTCTCCTTCGCGGACATGACTCAGCCAATCAGACCATTTGCTCACGCAACGAAGTGTTATTTTTGTGCCGACTCCGTCCTCTTGAATTCTTGATGATGGAATGCTTTTATGTTCATTACTTTTGACGAAATTTCCTTTAACGTTGATGGGTTGTTTGTTTTCAGCAAGCGAGCGAGCATTGATATTTTGTGCGGATGTTTTGTTTATTTCTAGGCTTGGCGACTCGCCGCCGCCGCCTCTTTCCTTATGTTTTATCTGGTGACTACGGGTTCATGGGGCATTTGGCTATATTTTATACGATATTATCGAGAGGCTCCAGTCCGTTGTTCTTGTATATTGGATCGGGGGAAGGAAGGGGGAAAGAGGTATCAAGGAGAGATGGACACTGGGGGACGGCATGTTGCTCCGAGAAAACTGGCGTATCAAATCGGCTTGGCCAGGTCTGGTACACACAGCGGCTCGAGAGAGCAACGGGAGACTGAAAGCCAGGAGACTGACGAGATCACCACGATGGATCAAGCATGATGGGTGATCAACTCATGTTTCCTTGGTGGATTGCAGCGGGCAAGATGCGTGTAATGCCTTGCAAGCTGGCGATCTCTATTTTTCTTTGTGGACAATGACATGATAGTGAAAACTGTTGAGATACAAATACTTACGACAGACATCAATGAATGACAAAACAACATAAACCACAGTCATGGGCTCGTCTGGGCTACTCTGAGCACTAGGTATAAGTCCCCAAGAGTTGACTCCCGTACTCGATAGCAGTGCATGAATATCGGTGGCGTCCCCAGTTACTTGCAGGAGCATCAATTGATGTCAAGTGTCGCCGGTGCCTTGCGTGGAGATGCATGGGAATGGAGGGGAAACGCTGGAGAGTAGCATCTGTTCGCAACAACGTGACGACAAAGACAAGCGAGTAGCTGCAGGATGCACACCATAAGCAAGGTCACAGCCCCAAGTACAGCTTCCCAGAAAGACGGGGAATGTGACATGTCGGAGCAAGGTGGTTGGTAGCAAACAGACAGCATGAATGCAGACTCTCAGACATTGGAAACAAAAGGGTCCAGCTCCCCCATCCCACCGGAAATTATGTGTAAAAAATTTTTTAAAAAAAGGGCCATTGCCTCGACTCTCGTGAGAGCTACCTGCGCATGTCAAAGTGTCGCCGTGCCATTCTGCAAGGCGCAGCCCGTTTTTGTACGAGGCCAACAGAAATTGAAACAAGATTGAATCTTGTGCTGAGACGCTCGGCCCAGCCACAGCGGCTACTGGGGAAAAGCTAAAAATGGCAGCTTCTGGACGTTTGTGACGGCCACGGGCCGGGCTTAGCTTGCAATTTTGTTCGACGTCAGCCTCTGGGGGTGCGACGTGGGGGTGCACTGCTTTTTTTGTCTTGCATGTAGACGCCGCCCTGGACAGAGTCTCACACCGCTTGCGCATGTGCCTCGATCTTGGGGCCATGGTGACCTTGGCGCGGGTGCGGGTTGGCTGGAGAGTTTGAGCTTGATGAGAGTCACGGTCGGGGAGGGGAGTTTCCTGGGCCGGTGGCGCGTCAAATGATGCCGGCTGGGCTCGGAGAGGGCATCGCGTTTGCATGATGGGGTTTGGATTTGGTTGATTGGCCGTGTAGTTGATTAGTGTCTGAATTCGTGAGGGACGACGCAATCATGCACACCGCAACGTTTCACAAAGTAGGCTTCACTACCGAATACCCAGCTGCCTGGTCCTGGATGTGGTTTCCATCTTTCTCTCTTTCTCTTTTTTTTTCACATGGGTTCGCGTGCGAAGAGATGTGTACAAACGGGGATCAAGCTTGTTTCTTGCAGAAAGCCACCAACGCAAAGGATATTACAAATGGGTGCCTAGTAGTAGTTTGGGAGTTGACAAATTTGTATTTCGTCGCGAGTGAGGAAAGGTAACGTCCCGTCAACAGCTAGCTAGCTGAAAAAAAAAATGAATATGAATATGATACACTGTTCCCCCTAGATACCGAGGTGTCTAGTATGCAAAGGCGACGGCAAAGACGTGGCTCTGATGCCTTCACGAAATGTACGACGGGTTACTTTCGTATTTCTGAAGGGTCGTACTTGGGTTTCCAGATCCTGCTCACGCGGTCAACAGGCCGCCACCACTCCCCACGGCCCCCCAAGGAACAAATACGAGGCAGATACATGAGAGGGGGCTATAGAAAAGAAGGCCGGAGGGGGGGGAATCACTCACCATGAATTTCCGATAGTCTTGTTGCCGGCTTTCTCGGCTTGTCGAAAGTACCGAGCCGCGGTGTACTGTGCCAAGTATAGAATTAGCCTCGTGCTTACGAGTGAGGGAATGACTGGTGACGGTGACTTATTAGCGGGGAGGATGCCGATTTGATGCTGGTATTTTTTGAGGGCAAACCCGAGCACTTGTTTGTACCCAACGGCGGTTTTGCGTGGCACGTTGGGCATCAAAGGCGGGGGAGAAGACGCTTTGAGACGTGCAGAACGCGGACTTTTGTTTTGTGTCACGCAAATGCCGCAGCGGCCTTTTTTTTTTTTTTTAAAGTTCTCCGCCACCCTTTGTGCGCATGTGTAGCTTGCGACATGTGCATCAATTATTGTTCTCGGTATGCACTGCTGTGCGGGAAGACGGGGCGTGTGTAAGTCTGGAGGGGGCATTCGCTGCTGACCTTGTCCTTTTCACCACCGATTCCATTGAGGTAGCAAAAGGCTGCTTCGTTCATAGCGTCTGTTGAACCTTTTGTTAGTGTACCGATTGGCCCTGGGAGTGAGTGCTGCGGCGAAACTTGCCACTATCTCCGAGGTTTGCTGCTGTTTCGTAGTACTAAAGGGAAACGTTAATGCTTTTCCTCTGTGTGTGTGTGTGTGTGTGTGTGTGTGTGTGTGTGTGTTGGCGGTTATTATGGCGTAATTCATCCAGACTCACCTGCCTCGCAGCAACAGAGTCCTTCTTGATGCCCCAGCCGTAGCGGAAGCAGTTGCCGAGTTCGAATATCGCCATGACCAACTCCCCCTTGGCGGCGCCGCCCTTCTTCATGCCCGCCTCAAGGGCAAGCTGCTCGATGGCGGCCGAGTTGGACGCCGCCGCGGTGAGATACGTGATGGCATTTTCCGGGTCAGGATCGCAGCCCCATCCGTGTCTGCGGCAGTAGGAGGGAAACACACAGCGTCAGCAGCTCTGCCATGACGTTTGGTACATGTCACGACGCAGGAACGGGCGCTCTTACCGCAACGCAAGCCCGTACAGCACCTGGCTCAGCGGGTTATTCGGCCCCTGCGGATCGGCCAGCCGTCCGAATATCTTGGTCGACTTCTCCAAGTCCCCCTCCTCGTGTAACCGGATCGCTTCCTGGATATCGTCATCTATGGCCTTGGACGAGCTGGCGCTCCGCTTCCTTCCGGTGCTCCCAGGCGCCAGGCTCATCCGTGACATGCCCTCGGAGGGGTCAGGCGACGCGGGCCTTGCGCGTGCAAGCTCATTCTGTCCCGCCAGCATCGTCGCCCGCCGCTCCCACTGCGACTGATCGGCCGGGTCGGAGCGCGTGATCGCGGGCAGGTTCCCGGGGACATTCTCGGAGGGCTCGGCCGGCCTGCTCAGGTGCAGTCGCTCCGAGAGGCGCCGTCTCGAAGAGTGGCTCGTCTGCGAGGAGACGGACTCGCTGCGCGATCGACTTGATCGAAAGACGTCGAGGCTCCGGCGGGGCGACGAGCGCACCGAAGTCTTGGGCGAGAGCAGGTTCTTCTGGTCCTGGCCGTCGTTGGGGGGTCGAATGATTTCCTGGCCGGCGGTATCTGTGCGAATAAATGTGAACTCGGCGGCGTCCAGCCTGCGCCCGCCCTCCTCCCCTGCCGAGTCCGCATTGTCGTCGGACTGGTCCTTCTTCTTCAGCTTGTCGAGGAGACCCATGGTGCCGCCCTGTCTTGAGCTTCTCCCAGCTGTGCTGTTGTACCAGACTCTACTGTCGATACAGCGACTGTCTTTTCTTGCTTTTATATGATGAGAAGAAGAAGAGAAGGAAGGAACGAAGGAACGACTGAGCACGTAGTTTCCGACAAAGACGAGCCGCGCATTTATTTATTCTCCTTCCACCAGACCCTTTCTCCTTTCGTGCCGCCTGGCCGTGTGACGTCGATTCGATGTCCGTCGCTCGCGGGCCCGTTGATTGACGTCGTAAACTGAGGCAGCGCCAGGCCAGCCTTCACACCGAGGGGCTGAGCCGTGGCAGTACCCGTTGAACCGTTCAATGTTCCTTCGAGATGCAACAAAGCAGCACCCCCAATCAGGCCTTGGGTTTCTCTTGCGACAGGTGTCACAATCGCATTGTTTTACCCGACGCCCGATGCCGATATCGAAAGGGTCGGGGCGTACAATGCAGCAACAACAACCGTTGAGGGCAAGCGACTGGTGTTTCACGTTGGGCTGACAAAGGCCAGTCTTTTTGCGTCGACTGGTGGGGTGTGCTCCTTAAATGTCAACATTGATATTTTTAAACTTGAAAAACGGCATGGACCATACATATGTACATACTCCCACGCGCTGGCAAGTAATTTAAAAATGGCAATCATGCTGTCTATCAACCTTGGCGCAAATGTGGACCGTGACCTTGTTTAAACCAAGGAACTTGACGATACATATCTCAACGTCGTCCTTGTCCAGCACGCACGCCGACTTAACACGTCAAAAAGCACATCCCAGACTCGGCAGAATAGGCTCTAGGTGGATGCTTCCTAATGCTTCCTAAGAAATTTTTTTTTTCGCATTGACAAGTATATCATCTATCGTAATCCTCTTCGTTATCACGCCGTCTCTTCGCACCTGTTCCGCAACAGCGTGCTTCAATAATGGCCATGTCATCAACAATGTGCCATCCACGGCCGACTACCCTCCCCCATCTACCTAACCTAGGTGTGGAAAGGGCCAAGCCAAGCCGAGTTAAATAAATGACTAGGGGTAGCGTACACATAACGCTGCGTTGCATTGATTGCAAGAGCTCAACGCCCTTGGCTCGCACAAATGGGTATCGTGCTAAAAGTCATGTCAAATCTAGAGGGGTATAAAGTCCTTTTGATTCTCAAAGTCAGAGTCGTCTGATTCTGCTTCGATGAATTCTGCAACCTCATCTGAGTCAACGTCGTCTGAGTCCACTGCTTCTTCGTCGCTGGATACATCTTCATCCATAGCGTCGTTGGCTTTGGCCTGGTTTCGCAGGACGCTTGCCCTTTCACGGTGGAGGAGTTTACATCCTTTACTCTTGCAGATGCCGGTATTGCTAAAGTCAGGGCATTCGAAAACATGACGCTCAGTGCAGGAAGCTCCCTTGTCACAGTAGCCGTAGAAGCCGAATGCCTCGCAAACCAAAGCACCGGGCGCTGCTCTGGAGTGCGTGTATGGACAATCGGCCTTTGTGCAGTGGCCTTTTGCATAGTGCAAGCAATTCGGAACGCGTTCGGGAGAAACATCATGGGAAAGGTCGCAGGACTCGCCGTTGGGACACTTGCCGTCCTTCAAAAAGTCTTTGCATACAGCCACTCTGGTAGGATCATGTTGATATCGACAAGACGGGCCTTTGGGGCAGGAACCTACAAAAAGTTTCGTTAGTATATACCCATACCCAGCCCCGCGTCTCGGGGCTGTCTCATTTGCTGCGAGTGCTGGTTCGATCCATTTGGAAATATCTATTACCGGTCGTTGAGAATAGTTTGCAAGGTTGGGGAGCCTTTTTTTGAACTCCAGACCGACTGTCCAATGTCAGCACTTCGCTCATTATGGCGCTGGCGACATACCGTTGGTCTTGAACGATTCTGTTGGCCACAAGGTTACCAGTTTTCGTCCGATGAAATCTGACACCGGCGATGACAGCCGTCTTCGGAGTGGCAGAATGCTGATCTATAGAAAGAAGAAAGAAAAGAAGAAGAAGCGAGTCCATTAGTAATGTTCGGCAGACGGATGTGTTGAGACCATGTGTACCGCTTACCTGATGATTTAACAAGTTTCTTGCCGCCATCGGCTACATGGAAGCGGATGCCTTCAATCATAATCTCAGCGTTGCCTACACCAGGTTTGGAGTTAGCAACCGCATTAGTCGCGCTGGCCTGATGGCGCAAAAAATCCTTCAGTTGAATTTTTTCGCGCATCTTCCGGTCCTGCAGCTTCTTTTGCCTCGTCTCTTCAATGGCTCTGACGCGGTTCTGGGTATCCTTCTCATAGACGTTGGCGTTGATTAGCTGTCGATGTCGGTCGTTTCTAGATACCCAGCCACTGCTTCCAGTTGTTGAGCCCGGACTTGGAGTATTGGAATCAGATGGTGGCCGAGATTGGTTGAGGTGAAGGGTCCGATGGCGGTGGTTGTTTTGCGCTCGCCCAACTCTATATGCCGAGCCATTATAAGCGCTGCGTGGGCGATATGTATTTCCTCCTTTTCTCAAGTCAGCACCATAGCGACTCGCTGTGTTAATCGTAAACGGACTTCGATAGTCACTAGCTTGGCGGCTCGAGGTGGCCCCGACTCCAGCCTGTTGACTTTTGTGTCTGTTGATTTGGCCTGGATAGGGTCAGTGGCAAACCAGACCTGATGGAGCAAGTGAAAGTTGACATACCCGCTAGCTGCCCGATGCGAGCCAGAAGCTCTTTTTCTTCTTCCGACATTGATGAAACCCGATCAGCCAAAATTCAGTTTGCTGTGATTGTGAGAAATGAGGTCGTGGTTGGAGGAAATGGAAGGCTACCCCCAACGGGACTTTTTGTTCCAATGACGGCATGGGCCTTGCAAGACGGTTAGTCAGCAACGTCTGGTCTGCGCGTGCCGCACCTACTTACCTAGGTAGTTAGTACTACTAACTACTACAGTGGGTCGCCAGAATTCCGTGCAACAACAGCCAATGAACAGAGGCAACAGCCAATAGTGGACCCCCAAACAAGGCTGGAATAACTACCACAAGGACACCAGTCCACAAACACCAGTTGACCGGCTTCGAATTTCTTTGCAATTCATCTCGGGATTAGGGAGTATCACATCGCACAAGCTGGATCCCGCAAGGCTTGCTGCTTCCAACCTGTCCATTATCCAACCATGGCATCCTGGGCTTTGCTCGACGAGAAAAGCGAATCTGAGCTTCACAAGTCCCGTCTTCTCAACGTTGAAGAAAAACCCTTTAAACGGATCACAAAACGCCTGTCTACCATTTCCTCCGTTGTCTCCGTAGCCACACAGCATAACGGAACAACAGAAAACGGCGCTGATGCCGCGAATCTCCCCAGCTTGAAAGAAGATCTTACGCTCGACTTCGCCGCCTTTGACAGCAGCATTGCACGTCTACAATTCCTACACGATGCCAATCAACGCGAGCGCGAACGATATGCGGCCGACCAGCAGCGCATTTTGACAGAATGCCAAGCGGTGCGGGCCAATAATGGACAGCTGAGGGAACAGTTAAACTCTGCACGAGCGACGCTCGACCAGCGGAAGAAATTCGACGAACTAGCAGAAAAGATCACATCTAATAGACTATTACGTCCGCGGGAGGACCAGCTCGCTAACCTGGCGAAACTAGAAGAAGAGTGTAGGGAGCTGGAACGAGAAAGTGGGACATACAAAGGAACATGGAAGGAACGCAGAGAACAGTTCAACAGGATCATGGACGAAGGCAGGATGCTGAGACGGCAGATTCGTGATGAGAAGGAGGAAGTTGACCGGCGAGAGGGCATGAATGAGGAAGGGGAGGATGACGCTGACGGAGAGCGGGAGGGTACAACACCTAGGCCAGTTATCAGTGGTAATGCGACTCCACATCCGGACGGCGAGGGTCAGTCGAAAGGCGAGAACGACGTGGAAAATGAAGACGAGTCTGCAAATGCAGCAGCTTCAAGTAGGGACAGAACACCGTCCGGGGACACGCCCGCGCAAGACAGGGCGGGATCGAGGGCAGCCCCAACACCGGCGGAATCAACATCTTCAGCGCCACGAGGTTCAGGGAAGTATTTACAGGTTCCTGGGAGTGCAACACCTTCACATCAAGGTGCTGGAGATGTGGACATGGAGGACCAAGTGGAGACCCAAAGGACAGAACAGGAGAATGGAGAAGGCGAGGATGAAATGGAAGTTGACGAGTAAAGCAAAGGATTTGGGGTTTTTTCTTGCCTTGGATGATGTACTTTATAATGCTGTAAAACTGTGATACCACAACCTAGGGAACCGAGCACAGTCCCTTATAATGCCATCTCTCGTTGGGTGCCCGAGTAACCTGCCTCAATGCTCTCATTAACAGATTTGGGAACCATCTACATCCACCAATTTCCCGAGCAGCTCTCCGCGTCAAGCCTTAGCCCTCGCCTGCCCCAGCACGTCCTTCGCATTCTGCAGGTCTTCCGAACCACCAGCTTCCTCCGCCAGAGAAATCTGGTCCTCCAACTTGGTCACCGCCGCGGCAATCCTGTCTTTCAGCGGCCCAAAGACGGCCTTTGTTTGCTCAACAGCGGTTTTCTAAACAAACAAGGCATTATCAGTCTTTCTTCTCTGTGGATATAAATCCGAGCACGTGCTCTTGCGCGACTATTGAAACAGGAAATAAAAGCAAAAGAGGGGAGGGAACGCACATTCTGCTTCAGCATAAACTCGGCATTGTCATCCCCGTCGCCGCCTCCGTTGCGGGTACTCTCCTCTAGCTTCTTCACTTCCGCCTCCTGGTCGGCTAGTTCCTTGTGGTACGAGGCTTCTTCTTTGAGGAGCCTGGTCACGGCGCCCGTTGCGATGGCGAGCTGTGACGGAGGAGGCATGTTGTGTGCTTCTAGGCTCTTTCCTGAGTGCCCCGGCGTTGGTAGGATTTAGGTGTTAAGGGATCGCGGAATCTCTGCCGAATAGATGAGGTTGCTTATAATGGTTTTTTGTGATATGGCTGGCTGGGATTGGAAAATACTGGTGCCTGTTGTCGGGGAGGAATCTAATCGAGTGCCTGGGGGTGAACTATGGACGTGGGGTGCCATGGTGGGGTTGTCGCAAAAGACCACTGCGTCACGGTTGCAATGTACTTAAGTACATACGGAGGGAGTACTTTCAAGTACGAGCAGGCAGACATGGCAATCTCCTTCTTGTAAGATTTTCCTCCATTGTCACGCATTTGCAGGCACGCGCAGGGTGTTGAGGTGAAGTCTCTCATTGATTTTCAGTGTAGTAGCTACCTAATTAGAATCATTGCTATCCCGTAACCAGCACCCTCGCACAAAACGTCCAACATTTAGAAGCGAAAACCGGCCTCTCTATCGAGATCCATTTCGCTCTCCAAGCTCCAACATTTGCTCTTCATAAACATCCCTGACCAACCGTATCCCGTCGTGATCAATGGTATCTTCCCATCAACGCCTGCAACGCCTTCAGAGTAGTCCAACAAGCCAATGCCCAAGAATGCGCGAATCCAGTATAATACACGAGCACACAACCAATCTTCCTAGCCAACATAGTACTCCAGACAGCGTACCACACCATAATTATTCTTTTTTTTCCGTCATGAAATCAAAATGATGTGTCATACAACAGCCAGGTTGTGATTTTAGGCCTCCACAGCAACGGCAGTAGAACTGACCGCTGCAGGCTCCGGCTCGTTCTGGTTCGAAATCTCGCCTCCGGCTTCTCGCTCAGCCCAGTCTCCCCACAATCCTCTCTTCCCACGAACTCTGATGGGCGCCCCCAGCTCTGGTCCTTGTTCAACCTTGATCGCATCCTTAGTGGCGAGGACAAGACACTCGAAGAACATCTTGGTGGCTTCTGCCTTTGTGGTTTGCTTCTCGGGTAGCAAATTCTGGAACACAACGGAGCTCTTCTTCCTCCTCTCGGCGTTTGTGGCAGCCTCAGCTCCAAACAAGTCTCGAAGAATGTGCACGGCATGCTTGGTACCAACAGAGACTGGCCCACTGTCTTGAGGATGCACAAGGGGAGCCGTCGTTTCGTCGAAGGGGTTCATTACACTACCGTCAGCTTCGTAGTGATCATCGTCGCCGCCAGCGGCCGGGATCTCCAGAATGGTGCCATCGGCTGCCACACTGTGGCTAGTCACGCCGTCGCCATCAAAGCCAAAGTCTGTATCCTCTCCAAGTTCCAGGCGCGGTGACTTGGCAGCACCAGCGTCGCTATCCACATCCGCAATGCCACTGTCTCGCTTTCGCTTGAGCTCGCTCATTCCCCGGACGGCATCTAATGAGAGCATGCCTCGAAGCTCCGGGGCCCAAGCTGAGCTGCGACCCTCGGTCATGATGGACGAGACAAACCCACCAGTCTTCTGCATATCCATCAGAGCTAGTAGAAAGGGATCTCGAGGGAGAAAAGAGGCAGGTTTTATGATATTCTGTCGATCAGCCTGTTGCTGTTTAATATGACTGCTCGACAAGGCAATCTCCTCATCGGGCATCATAATTTTCTGCTTCTTTGAACGTTGGGCAGGCCTGCGGACGATGGTAAGTTCCGTGTCTTCCGTGGGTTCATAGAGATCGGTGTGGTTGTGGCGCGAGTATTCTGTTTCAATCTCCAGTGCCAGTTTCTCGTCAATGTCAGAAAGTGGCGATTCGGATATTCTTTCACGGGCCAGATTCGTCGCGGAAGCCATACCCGGCATGGCAGATTGGTCATCAACGTTGAAAGCGAAATCATCATCACCCATTGCAATGTCGCCCTCTCCATCCGCGATTCTCACAGGGGGTTCTCCCAAATCAGTTGCGTCCTTGTTGTGTGTCCGAAGTTCCAAGTCATCGCTCAACATGTCATCTTCAACGTCGCGTGCTGGCGGTGCATCTCGACCATGTTCGATACTTTGGCTCAAGTCGTCGTCTATGCTGAAGCCGAAGTCGAGCTCAAGTTCTAACTCGCCCATTGGTGCAAAGCTGTCGTCTGCGTTGTCATTGGCATGTAAAAATTGACTGACTTCAAGATCTTCCTGCAAATTAATATCTCTGTTATTGCTGGCACGGCCTTTGCGGCCGACTGGGGTAGCCGTGATGTCGTCAACCTGAGACAGAAGCCATGAGGCATCTGGAGGAGGAGGCAATTCCAGGTTGTCATAAGGCGTGATCCGATCAGGCAAAAGCAAGGCCTCACGATTCGGCATTTGTAAGTTGGCAGCCATATCATTGTTTCCACTGGAACGGAAAGCCTAGGATCACAACGTTAGTAGCTTTCCCAATGACAAATTAGACTGCCGTCTGGGAGACTCACCATTTTGATCTTCATCATAGCTTCATTACAATCATCCAGCAAATAACGCGTCTTTCGTTGGTATATTCTCACAACTCCAAGCAGAAGTTGGCCACTCAGACGCAGTGCCATGGGCGCCTGGTTCGGTGTGATGATGGCCTCCACACTGTCGGTGACATTGGACTGTAGGATATGATTTTTAGACAGCTTGCGCTCCAGATTTGCCGACAGCCAGACGCGAGCCAGGGGCCCGCTCTTCTGGAGGAGAGTCTCCGAGTAGAACATGGTGGCGCTTCGCGACGCGACACGGCTGCTCGAATGGCTCGAAACGAGCAAGTACACGAAGGCTTAATGCGAGCCCGCCGAGATGGTTGAAGAGCAAGCGCCAGTGGGGGTGTCGAGAAGTTTCGTGTCAACAGCACCAAGGGTGGCGCGTTGTCGGGGTAAACAAGGATTTGAACCGTGTCGACGCTTTGCAACGCGCAAAAAAAGGGCGCGCAAAACAGTATAGCAAAGCGAAATAATCGGCCGACTTGATTGTACGTGTCCGCGACCGAGAGCGATGGCGTGCCGAGCGATAAATGAGCGTGGACGTGAGGGTCGTGACGAGATGCTGGGTAGAAGGTGAGGATCGGTACCAGTGCAAATAACCAGGTGGTTGGGGGGAGGCAACGTCCCACTGCCCAGGACGGAAGAACGCTCCTTCCGCATCATCACTACGGACAACAGAAAGGTGGGTCCACTAACCCAACTGAGATGCATGCATCCTTCATCATTCATCAACCATTAACTCCGTACTCCGTACTCCGGTCGGAGTACTTGTGTCTAGGGTATGGAGCAGTAGTATTCCTTTGGCCCGCATTCATTCTCAAACTGCTCCAAGGAGCCTCTCCTGCTGCCACTGTACGGTCATTTGTGCCAACCAATGGCCATTTCGAGCGAAGCTATTATCAATACAAGTACTACCATAAAAAGTGAAAATATCAAGATCTGCACGGGCCATTCATATAGTACGACTATTAATGTGGGCGTACACTCCGTGGCCCGGAATACATGGCATAGCCGCACGCATCCCGGGCTAGAAAAATACCTTTATTTGCTCTCGTTATATTGCCCCCATGCTAATTCCATATTTGGCCTGTTAGCGGGCAGCGGACCTTTAGCGAATCGACCTCTATGTATTCTCAAACTCTCAGAGTTGTTCCCATTTCATGCGCCTGCGCAAACCAGAGTGCAATGGTGCCACGGACACCAAGTTGGCGGGTAGTGAGAATACATACAGGCTGTCATTGGCTCATTATGGCTTCGGCTGATATTGAAGGGATCCACACTCTAAGTCGCATGCAGATCTGTTCTCAGCGGAAACTGCCCCTGGCAAGTTGTTTCCCAGTTCCTGAACTTGGGAAATCCACTCTCCGACAAACCACTGTCCACAGACTGATGCCCTCTTTGCGACTCGTCTGCCTTTCCTCGTCCATCTTCAAGGGCAATTTTCCTTTATTTTCTTGTCTTCTTTTTGCCCTCACTGCATAGTCCATCTCTGATCCACATTTCCAGCGGCCTGTTTACGCCTTGCGCATTGGTGTATGCGAGCGACGAACGTCTTCGCCTGAACATTTCCCTATGACGACGCAGATCCGTTTCTCATTCATCTAGTCATCCTCATGCGATATCTACACTAGAACGACCGACTCTCTGGGCACGACAATGCAGATGCCATGGTTTGCTCGCAACGGCTCAGGGAAGGAGACACTGCTCCCTACCTCGAGCACTCCAGCCATCACGGAAATGTCCACCTTCGACTCGTCCGAAAATGGCAAACCAGTCCGACCGCAACATGCCCGAACTCCCTCATCACACGCCAGAGTATGTAGTTCATCGCCGTGGCTTCTGGAGTATGTACCGCTAACTTTTGTCAAGAATGTCGCAGATGAATTTTCCTACATGACGCCCAGCGAAGTCGGTGCCCGCTTGCGAACGTCTTTAACACACGGATTGACTGCCACCGATGCCCTGACCCGACTGGGTGATTATGGCCCAAACGAGATTCCCCATGATGAACCAGAGCCTCTTTGGTTGCGGTTTGTGAAGCAATTTCAAGAACCGCTAATCATTCTGCTACTTGTGTCCGCGGGCATGTCCGTCTTGTTGGGCAATTTAGATGATGCGGTGAGCATCACAGTCGCCGTCACAATAGTAGTGACTGTTGGGTTTATCCAAGAGTACCGGTCCGAACAGTCAATTGAAGCTCTTAACCACTTGGTTCCAAACCATGCCCATCTGGTACGCGGGGGATCCAGCAAACCTTCAGCGACTATACCCAAATCTCCTGCCTGGCCACCACCATCCAGCGACCCTGGCTCGACTGGCAGCTCCGGAACGAAGACACCAGTAGAGGATGCCATGGATGCCGTATCAACCAAGGTTATGGCCGGACAGCTTGTTCCTGGTGACTTGGTACTGTTCACAACTGGCGATCGGATCCCGGCCGATATTCGTGTGACCAAGGCAACCGATCTGACAATAGATGCCTCCAATTTGACAGGGGAGACGGAACCGGTCCGAGTCACGGCCGAGGCGCGAACAAGACGAGTCAGTAGCCACGGATTGAACCATCTACAGCTTCCTCAGCCGCCAGCACTCGGGTCCGGGGGGCCTCATGAGGGAGATCCCGGCGGTGACACACACAACATCGCATTCATGGGAACCTTGGTAACATCTGGCCACGGCCGAGGCATTGTGTTCGCGACCGGGGGAAGCACACACTTCGGTACCATAGCGACCAGCGTATCTGGTACGGAAAGCCCTCGTTCGCCACTCCAACTGTCCATGGACGAACTTGGTACCCAACTCAGCAAGGCCTCTTTTGTTGTTATTGGCCTGATTTCATTAGTTGGATGGTTACAAGGCAAGAAATTATTGGAGATTTTCACAATTTCTATTTCGCTTGCCGTAGCGGCGATTCCAGAGGGCCTTCCGATTATCGTAACCGTTACTCTGGCACTTGGCGTCCACAGAATGGCAAGACACAACGCAATTGTTCGTAGGATGCCCAAGGTCGAGACTCTTGGCTCTGTCAATGTAGTTTGTACCGACAAGACCGGTAAGCGTTGCCCTTTGCCAAAGTTCTAAAGTGAGATACTGAGTGTGTTTGCCCAGGTACGTTGACGACAAATCATATGACAACGTCCGAGATGTGGTATTTCGGAGCCGGGGATCCGATCGACGTTGCCTCTGACAGCGATTCCATGGATGATAAGAGTACACCTACACAGCTGAGAATTATGCGAATCGGAAACATCGCCAATAATGCGCGGCTTGCACAAAAATATACCGAGAGTGGCGCCGCTGCTTCAGCAGTTTTGTCCTCTACGCTGGGGCGTGGGCAAGTAGCCACGAATTCGAGATGGGTTGGCCAACCCACGGATGTCGCAATGTTGGATATGCTTGACAAGTTCAAGGAACACGACATTCGCAACTCCATAGGGCCGCGGGTAGCAGAAACGCCATTTAGTTCTGAGAGAAAATGGATGGGCGTGACTATTGGCTCTGATTCTAAAGGAGAAAAAGAGTATGCGTATATGAAGGGCTCAGTCGAAAAGGTTCTTACTGCGTGCAGTACTTACCTGGACAATGACGGAAGAGAGATTGTTCTTGATACAGCTAGACGTCAAGAGGCTCTAGCAGCAGCCCAAATAATGGCAATGAAGGGACTCCGTGTTCTAGCTTTTGCCAGTGGACCTGTGTTCAAGTCTTTTAAAGGAAGGACTGCACAGGGAACTTCGCGCACTGGGACGCCCGATCTCGAAAGCAGCACAAGTTCAATCCCGGAGGCCAACGAAGATGTCTACAGGGACTTGATATTTGCTGGTTTGGTGGGCATGAGTGATCCACCGAGACCTGGGGTTAGCCGTTCCCTCAAGAGGCTTATGCGAGGCGGAGTCAAGGTTATTATGATCACTGGTGATGCTGAAACCACAGCCCTTGCCATTGGCAAGCAGCTGGGCATGAATATCGCGGTGGCTAGCGAACATTCAAGTAGTCAAGGTACTGTGCGGCCTGTGCTTCTTGGAGAGGAGGTCGACAACATGTCGGAGGAGGACCTGGCCCTGGCCATGCAGCATACCACTATTTTTGCTAGAACGAACCCGGATCACAAGATGAAGATCATCAAGGCTTTACAATCTCGTGGCGATATTGTCGCCATGACTGGAGATGGGGTCAATGATGCTCCGGCTTTGAAAAAGGCTGATATCGGTATCTCGATGGGTCGCCACGGAACTGACGTGGCAAAGGAAGCTGCAGATATGATTCTTACAGACGATGACTTTTCGACGATTCTGCGCGCAATTGAGGAAGGCAAAGGTATTTTCAACAATATCCAAAACTTTCTCACCTTCCAACTCAGCACCAGTGCTGCCAGCTTGTCTCTTGTACTTCTGTGTACCTTTTTCGGCTTTAAAACTCCTTTGAACGCCATGCAAATTTTGTGGATTAGTAAGTATCCATGGTATATGTAGGCGTCACTCCAATGTTAACATAGTCTTAGACATCATCATGGACGGACCTCCAGCTCAGTCCCTTGGAGTCGAGAAGGTCGATCCCGATGTGATGAATCGGCCCCCGCGAAGACGCAACGACGCGGTGCTTACCCGGGCGGTTCTCATGCGTGTTCTAACATCGGCTGTTATTATCATGATCGGCACCATGCTAATATACAGGCACGAAATGCTGGCCGATGGACAAGTGACACGGCGTGACACAACCATGACGTTTACGTGCTTTGTCTTCTTCGACATGTTTAACGCACTTAGCTGCCGATCGGAGTCAAAGTCTATTTTCCGAGGTGAAATCGGGCTGTTTGCCAACAGCTTATTCAATTGGGCGGTGTCACTCAGTGTTGTCTGCCAGCTATTGGTGATATACATGCCCTGGCTTCAGGAAGTGTTCCAGACAGAGGCGATAGGACTTGGCGATCTTTTCAGGCTGATTGTTCTTTGTAGCTCAGTGTTCTGGGCGGATGAATTACGCAAATACCTAAAGTACGGAAAGCGGCGTTTGGGCAGCGGATATAGTCAAGCTGTGTGATTCTCCATGGCAAGGGGTTTATATATTCGGCGGCAGCTTGCTTGGCGGGCATTTTGTTTTACATAGAGTTGGAGTCCCAACATATACGCATAGCATAGCAATTCATGGTAGTGGAAGACTGGGTGTATAATAGAAAGAGGTTCTCTAACATGATTGAAGGACTGAATTCCGAGGTTTACATGACAGATGTTGTTGGCGCCTTCGTAGCATGTACTCCGTTTTGACATGTTAGTGGGTCGAAACGGACGGGGGGCACAACTGGCCAGGCCAGCTCGACAGCCCGCACCAGGCATGGGTGCATGTGGCTGCCAGTTGTGACGTCCAGTTGGCGGTGCATGTGCCACCACCACCACCACATGGAGTCTTGGACACCTCAACCTATCGACAAGCTCTTCAGTCGACACCACAGTCAGCAACCTCGTCAACAAAGCCCCCGGGAGCTATGTACCACCCGGCCGAATCTTCTCGTCGCCAATGTCCTCTCTCCCCAATGGCGTGTTTAATCGCTACAGCACCACGGATGGCAAGGACATGAAGCCGAAAACTGCTACATCATCGCCCCTCAACCATGTCTCCTGCGCGGCCGAACTGCGCGCCGCACTGGCAGCGCTGCATGCTCGGGAGTCCGACATAACAGCCCGTCTCGACTCCCTGATCGCTTCACAGGCTGACCTAACTCGAGACCTCGGCCGATTGGATCTGTTGCGAGCCGGCCTGGGGGCCCAGGTTATCGCTGCGAGATCCATTAGCAATGACATGCTCTCATCCGCGGCCGAGACTGCGGGGAGGCTCAGCAACAGGGTCAAGGAGCTGGACCTGGAGAAGAGCCGCGTAGAAGACACGCTGGGCGTGGTTGAGCAAGTTGCCGAGCTCAAAGCCTGTGTCAACGGCGTGGTAGGTTCCATGGGCGCGCCGCAGGACTGGGAGGCAGCAGCTGCGTACCTGGACCGAGCAAGCAAGGTCCCGGAGGATATCGCCAGGGGCGCTTTCGCCTCGAGTATAGTTCCCAGCGTGGAGGTGCCCGACCCTCCGTGGGTGACGCTGGAGACGGCAAGAGAGTCTCTTTGCGGACTCTTCCTGCGGGAGTTTGAGAAGGCGGCTGGAGACGGGGACGGCCCAAAGGTCACCCGATTCTTCAAGCTGTTCCCATTGATTGGGCGAGCCGACGTTGGGCTCGATGTGTACGGGCGATATGTCTGCCAAGGGGTGGCAGGGACGGCTCGCGCCACGCTGAAGGACAGTGTCGGCGCTCACGGCAGGAAGGAGGGGTTCTTCTACGCCAATGCGTTGACGAGGCTGTTTGAGCATATAGCGCAGATTGTGGAAAGCCACGGGGGTCTTGTGGAGCGGCATTATGGTGCTGGCAAGATGGTTCGTGTGATTGAGCGACTACAGATGGAAGCGGATGTCCAGGGTGGCATTATCATGGATACTTGGAGCGACGAGCGCGGTATTGACAGGATGATTACCGATGTGAAAAGTTATCCCTTTTCGTTTTTGGTGCAGAGCTTTCTGCCACAGGCCCCTAGGAGTGGTACGCCGCGGGTCAATTCCCCAGCTGTGGGAGGCGGGAATCCTCGTTCCAGCGAGGATGAGGGTGTCAACATGAAAGAAGTGGATGGGCTGTTGAATGAGATTGCCCTTATGCTCGGAAGATGGTCACTCTACACGCGGTTTCTGTCTGGTAAATGCATGGTAAGCTGCCCTCTACTATGACAAGGGGTTGGGAGCGAGGACTAACAAGGGGCTTGCGCTTCAGGTTCCTTCTGATGAAGATGCGCTGTTGGTATTGCCGGAACTGTTGATCAAGTCAAACTTGTATCGGAAGGTCTCCGCAAAGCTCACAACGCCATATAATGTCATGACGACGTTCTTTTTTCGCCGGTCTGTAGAAAAAGCATTCCAACTGGATGAGTATCCAACCGGTTTGTCCTTGCGCCTAAATAAGTCGATCGACGGTCATGGTCCTATTATTATCACGGCCGTAGACGATGTCATGTACATTGTCAATACGGTTATACAAAAATCAATGTCGACATCACAGCGGGATGTCATTGCATCCGTCATTCCAACTATTGGCCGAGTCTTGGGCTCTGATTTCATTGGCATGGTGCAGCGCAAGATGCGAGACGAATCTTATCCCAAGCCAGCCGTACACGGCGGCTTTCCCCCGGAAGACAAAATCATCCAGTTCATTGTGCTCATCAACAGCCTGGATATGGCAAATGAATACCTGAGCAGAATCATCGGCAGCCGAGTGGTAGCAGCTGAAGGCCAAGCAAGTGGTGTAGCGCTACACGAGTCCTTGAAGGATTCATTCCCTTTCGACAAGGATAACACATTTGCCGCCAACGCGCTACACTCTCTGGAGACCAGCTTCATCAACAAGTCCTCTGAGCTCCTCAACGAAGGTATCCAAGTCCTCTTCGCTCAAGTCATCAAGCCTCGATTACGGCCCATCTTCAACGATACTTTCCGGGACGTGGATTACACTCTCAACGAGGAAGGTGTGGCGGAAGTGGCAGAGCAAAATGACGAAAACGTGGGGGACATTCTTGAGCAGGTTTCGAGACGATTCGAACATGGCTGGGATCAGCTAATGAAGCCGATTGCACGCATAATGACGCCTGGAACATTCAGAACGCTACTAGATATCACAGCTCGATACCTGTCCAAGATCCTGGAAAAGAGGATATTGAGCTATGCCGGGAAGACGAGTCCGTTTGGCGCTGTCCGCATAGAGAGGGACTTTGGCGGCATCGTAAACATTGTCTCCAAGGGGGAATTTCGCGTCAGGGAGGCGTTTGGCAAAGTGACTCAGCTGCTCATGGTGGCCAATATGGAGGACGACGAGTGGGAAGAGCTTGGTAATGACGAGGATGCTATTGAATGGGTGTTGACGGAGGAGGAGAGGAGAAGGGCGAGGGGGCTGGTGAAGGGCTAGTATCGCTTGCGGAAACATGGTCATAGACAGCGTTAAGAATCCATGAGATGCAGGGATGCATGTATTGAGGGGTTGAGGGGTTGGCTACCTGCACGTTTTATGTTGAAGGACAAGACTTGCGCACAGCGACTCACTGGTGGTGAAGTTCAGAGTTGACAACCAAACTAGGCTGGCCCAATGGGTGTTGAGCACTCACTTGTGCAAGCTGCTGGCGGACGAAGCTCCAGTGGGCCGCGCCTGCCGTGCCTGGCGTGTACGGAGTATCAACCAGCCAGTGACAACATTGAACATTGAAGTGGCTGACTCAAACCTTCTGCGCCGACGACCAGCCCAAAATGTCACTGCGCGCATCGGAGGGTCCAAAGTAAGCCAAAAAAAAAAAAAATCCATCGCCAATATCAGATATCAAACACCGACTACGCAACACATTATCCATCTTATCTCTTGGGTGATAATCCAATGACATATTCTGTCTCGCCATAAATGAACCCGTCTTGAGTCTCTCGTCATCACCCAACCAGGCAGTCTCTCATCTCAACTCTCACTCATACATATACTATTTCACGTTGGCTCGTCTCGCCTCATCACGACTTATATCGGCCCTCACCCGACCCCCGTCCCGACCCTTCACCACAATCTCACCCCCGCCCGCCATGAACACGCGGGTGGTTGCCGTCCCTCACAAGGGCACACTGGGCTCGTTTGACGACTCCAAGGACCCCCTGGGCAGGTTAGAGCACTGGCACATCCACAGAGACGCCCGAGATGCAGTCGCCGCGCTGGAACCCGCCGCAGAGTACCTCAAGACCAAAGACACGCCCGTCGCCTTCCCCACGGAGACGGTGTACGGCCTCGGCGCCGACGCCACGAGGAGCGCGTCCGTCAAGGGCATCTATTCGGCAAAGGGGAGGCCGTCGGACAACCCGCTCATCGTGCACGTGTGCGATCTCGACATGCTGCGGACCCTGCTTGGCTCACGCGGCCAAGATGCCATCCCCGCGCGCTACCAGTCTCTCATCGAGAGCTTCTGGCCGGGCCCGTTGACGATTCTCCTGCCCAACCCTGACCCCTCGCCTCTTGCGCCAGAGGTCACGGCCGGACTCGACTCGTTTGGCGTGCGCATGCCGTCGTCGCCGCTGGCCCTGACGCTCATCAAGCTTGCTGGCGTGCCGCTGGCTGCCCCGTCTGCGAATGCCTCCACGAAGCCGTCGCCAACCACGGCGCAACACGTCAAGGATGACTTGGATGGGCGGATCGAGATGATCCTCGACGGGGGCTCCTGCCAGGTTGGCGTGGAGAGCACAGTCGTCGACGGCCTGTGCGATCCGCCGGTCGTTCTGAGGCCGGGGGGCGTGGGCATCGATGAGTTGAGGAGCTGCCCCGGCTGGGAACACGTCGTCAAGGCGTACAAGGACCAGAGCGAGGAGGGCAAGGCGGCGCCGCGAGCCCCGGGCATGAAGTATAAGCACTACAGTCCCAGGGCGAGGGTCGTGCTGTACGAGTCGAGTTACGAGAATGGGCGGGCCGGGATTGTCGAGGCGGACGCGGAGGCTGTCGCGGCGACCGCGATTGGGGGCACACACGCCGTGAACGGCACCGCGAGGAAGAAGGTGGGAGTCATACGGACCAAGCGGTGGAAGCCCGCCGCTGGCTTGCGATGCAGCAAGCTCCGTCTGGATGCGAGGCGGATTGGCCACAGTCAGCAGGGCGGCCAGCACGACGAGATGCCATATGATGTATGTGCTGGGGAATTGCAAAACGAACAAGGGGAGACAGTCGGCCAAGTCTTCGACATAGGTCTGGGTCAAGAAACCCGCCGTATAGCGCAAGGCTTGTTCTCCGCTCTTCGAGAGCTGGATAGACGGGGTGCAGATGTTATTTTTGTAGACGGTATAGACGATGAGCTGGATATAGCAGCCGCTGTGATGAACCGCCTTCGCAAGGCGGCATCCGAAACTAGAGCATAGACACCATGAAGCGTTTGAACACTTTTTTTTTTTTAAAAAAAATTTTGTATTCTCTACCTCTCCATCCCACTTTTGTAGATCTACCAGGCCCGAGCAGAACAATACAACCTGCCCATTTTCCATGTCATGCGGCTCTTTCAAAAGATCAACAACCGTTGTCCTTCTGTCATACGAGATTTTTTTTAAAACAAAACAAAACCAAACCAAACCAAAAAACGTCCATTACTTCCCACATCATCATAAATGGTATTTTCGTGTCAGAGTCTACGAGACGCAGAAGGCGGCGGGTTTAGCAAAGCCTTTTACAGGCCTTGCCGTAACCAATCTGCCAGCTTTGACTTGCCCAATTGCGCTAGATTATTGACACCCTGTTCGCTGAGGTCGATGCGGCCGATGGGCACGTCTTGCGCCGGGGCTCTGCTGACACGCTGGACAATAATGGTGGGGTCTGTTTCGAGGATGATGCCGTCGTCGACGATTTCGTCAATGGCAAGGGAGACGAGGTCGTAGTTTTCGATGATGGTGCGCTTGTCCACGGATTGTCTGTGACTGTTTAGTCGGGGATTTTACATGGAAACTGCACGGGTTAGGGGGGGAAAGGAGGCAAACGTACTTGAAGACCAGGTGTAGTGAGTCGCGGATAGCGAGAACAGTGTTGTACAGCAGAATTTCGTTCTCTTCCAGGCTGCCCACCACGTAGATCATAATGTCGGACTCGAGCTTGTACAAGACGATTCTGTTATCGTAGAGGATGATGTCGCCCGTCTGCTTGGCCGTCTTCTCGATGAGGCCCTTCTCGAAGGCCTTTTGGGCTTTCAGGTCAGGGTATGGGTTGCTGGAGGTTGCAGTGTCTGCATGAGGGCGGGGGGTTGTCAGTTTATATGGTTTTGGCCTGGCTTGATAGCATCGACCCCTTGGCCAGGAAGGGAACTCACTGCCGGTGGTGCTGTGCGGGGAAGAATAGTATTTGGCCAGAATTCTGGCACCGTCCTCTGTGCCGAGAATGAGGACGGCTTGGACCGAGAAAAGGGTCATTCCTGGAGACATGGTGGCGACGAGGGTGCGGCGTGGACGGTTGTTGGATAGTGTTGCGATGGGATGGATGCCCTCGTTGAGGTAACGTGGAGATACAGAAGACGATGTTGGTCTCCAAGGTCAATCGTGGTGGGGCTCAATTGACAGCAGTGCATTATGATTGGCTGGAGCTGACATCAAAGTGAACCTGGGATGCACGAGTCCTTGAGTTGCCTTGCAGATTCGAAACTACCATGATATCTACCTAGTACGTACATAGTTAAGTACAGAGCACTTGTGCAACTATTGACGGGTCAATGTTGTTGTTTTAACGTCTTCGTATACTAGTAATAACAATGGTGAAGACGACGTATGTGAAGAGATGCTAAGCGGCGGACTCTGCTGCTGTGGGATGGGCTGGAACCTGATTTGACAACTCACGGGCTTGGTGGCAGTGTACCTAGGTGTGTATACCACAATTCCTTAGCGTCAAGATATTCCGTACTCGGGGGACAGAATGGATTTCATGTAGTATGATGAATCTGAGATGGGAAATTCTTTATTCCGTACTCCGCAGACACATAGAAGCCTTAACAGACTGAACCAAGCACGGCAAAGATTAGGCCTGGCAGTGGCTAGCACCAGCTGCCCTGTGAAGGACAAGCCACACAGGGGGTGCACCTGCGCAACATCATCTTAAAATACGGACCAATGTCAACCACTTTACGCGTCAAGACGCGAGCAAGACGCGTAAAATCGAGCCCCTCCACTTCACCACTTCAGACCTAGAAGTTAGAACACCCTGCACATTTGCTCATTCTCATTGTCGCCCTTCCCCCCCAATATCGACATCTTGTATCAAGTTTAGCAGGATCTTGCTGCATATCTTTTGAATTGATCGCAATATTTAATAATGTCGTCGCCGTCACAACGCCGGCAGCGCAGTTCCCAGTCTGCCACGCCGCGTCGGTCTACTCGCCAGTCTGAAGCCAACACCCCTCACAATGCGCCTTCACAGGCGGCCTCAAGCCCGATTTTCTTTCAGTCCTCATCTCCCGGCCCCGGAGTTGGTCAGGAGCATGACACGAATGGAGACGTGTCGTCGCCTTTGAGGCAGATGACGGATAGCCAGAGCACGCAAGCCCATGCCGCTACCCCTAGCTCTCCGTTGCGGCAAATGTCCGAGTCGCAGACACCTCGAGATGATCCTCAGAGAACGCCTAGAGCAAGCGGGACCTTTGCCGGAGGTAAATACTTCATCTTCTCTTCTCCCATAGTCGCATAGCCACAGCTTTGCCGCGAATTGCTGACACCTCGCAGAGTCATCACCAATCCGATACGAACCGAGTTCCAGTCCTGGCCGATCACTTGGTCACCGATCAGAGCTACGCAGCGAGAGCAGCGGCTTGTTTGTTGGCTCAGAGAGAGGTCACTCTGCTGCTTACAGACGAGGAGATATCAACTCGGATGCCTTGCGAACGCCTCGCGCCCCCCGACGCATTATCCTGGATGACACTGGCCGCGTTGTCCAAGAGGGCCAAACCCCTGGCTCGGATGCTGCGTCTTTCACCAATCGAGACCCCAACACGTCTGAAGCTGATGTTCTTGGCGGCCAAGGCCAAAGCCTCATCTGGGGTACAACTGTATCCATTGATGACACCTTTGCAGGATTCAAAGACTTCCTACGCCACTTCACCCAAAAGTACAGAATGTACCGGGATGGCTTCTCAGATGCAGAAGTGCAGGCCGCGCCGGATGCCGAGTCCAAACCCTACGTAGAAGCTATGGAAAACATGTTGCTTCTTGGCACTACGAGGCTGTACCTCGACATTTCTGACCTGAATCTGTACCCTCCCACTCGCAAGCTGTGGTACCAAATCCAAGCATATCCTCAGGAAATCGTCCCCATCATGGATCAGTCCGTCCATGATTTGATGGTAGAACTGGCACGAGCGGATTCTCTCAAAAACCGGCAATCTCAGAGCAGTGCTGGTCAACAGGACACCCAGAACAGTACCCAGAGCTCGGAACCCGTCTTTCCCAGCTCTGACAGACCTGACGACCCTGCTACTCCCCGCCCGCCGCAAGACCAGCCGTCTTTGGAGGACCAAGTATCTGCGAACTTGTACGTCGTCCGTCCCTTTGGGCTCGACAAGACGATCAACTTGAGAGATTTGAACCCGTCTGGTATGTTTTTGTTTCCCTTGTCCCTCAATCTTCGCAGCTTCCCTTGCTAACACTTCCTGTAGACATGGACCGCCTCATCTCTATAAAGGGTCTCGTCATTCGGACAACGCCCGTCATCCCTGACATGAAGGATGCATTTTTCCGTTGCAATGTTTGCAACCACTCTGTCAACGTCGGCCTCGACCGGGGCAAGATTCGTGAGCCAACCGAGTGTCCTCGCCAGATTTGTAACTCCAAGAACTCCATGCAGATCGTCCACAACAGATGCTCATTTGAAGACAAGCAAGTCATCAAACTGCAAGAGACTCCTGATGCCGTGCCTGCCGGTCAAACCCCTCACTCCGTCTCAGTCTGCGTGTATAACGAACTCGTCGACTTCTGCAAGGCCGGTGACAGGGTCCAGTTGACGGGGATATTCCGAGTCAGCCCTGTGCGAGTCAACCCACGTCAACGCGCCGTCAAGAGCGTATACAAGACCTACGTTGATGTTCTTCACGTTCAAAAGGTCGACAAGAAGCGTATGGGAGCCGATCTCACCACACTCGGCGTCGAAGGCGAAGAGGACGCCGATAACGGTGGAAACGGGCTAGAACAGACTCGTGTCATCACACCTGAGGACGAAGCCAAGATTCGAGAAACGGCTGCCCGTGATGACATCTACGAGCTTCTGGCCCGGTCTCTCGCGCCTTCAATCTACGAAATGGACGACGTCAAGAAGGGTATTCTCCTGCAACTTTTTGGCGGCACAAACAAGACGTTCCAAAAGGGCGGCAGTCCCAAGTACAGAGGCGACATCAACGTACTGCTTTGCGGTGACCCTTCTACTTCAAAGTCCCAGATGCTCTCCTATGTCCACAAGATTGCTCCTCGCGGTGTCTACACCAGCGGCAAGGGCTCCTCAGCCGTCGGTCTCACAGCCTACGTGACCCGCGACCCCGAAACCAAGCAGCTCGTGCTCGAGTCCGGCGCCCTGGTCCTGTCAGACGGCGGTGTCTGCTGCATCGACGAATTCGACAAGATGTCTGACGCAACGCGCTCCGTCCTCCACGAGGTCATGGAGCAGCAGACCGTCTCTGTCGCCAAAGCAGGCATCATCACCACCCTCAACGCCCGAACCAGCATCCTCGCCTCTGCCAACCCTATCGGCAGCCGCTACAACCCTGACCTCTCCGTACCCCAAAACATAGACCTGCCCCCAACCCTACTCTCCCGTTTTGACCTCGTCTATCTGATCCTCGATCGCGTCGACGAGAAGGCGGACAAGCGTCTCGCCAAGCACCTTCTCTCTCTCTACCTCGAAGACAAGCCTCACTCTGCCCCCACAAGCAACGATATCCTCCCCGTCGAGTTCCTCACCCTCTACATTTCCTACGCCCGCTCTCAGATTCAGCCCGTCATCTCCCGTGAGGCCGGCGAGGAGCTCGTCAGCGCATACATTGCTATGCGCGCTCTCGGCCAGGACGTCCGCGCCGCGGAGAAGCGCATCACCGCCACGACGCGTCAACTCGAGAGCATGATTCGTCTCTCCGAGGCCCACGCAAAGATGAGGCTCTCGGACACCGTGACAAAGGAGGATGTCCGCGAGGCCAACCGTCTCATTCAGAGCGCCCTCAAGACGGCCGCCACCGATTCCCAAGGCCGCATCGACATGTCTCTTTTGACCGAGGGCACGAGCACGGCCGACCGCAAGCGCCGCGGAGAATTGAGAGACGCTATTTTGAAATTGCTGGACGACATGACGGCTGGTGGGAATAGCGTTCGATGGGGCGATGTGTCGAAGCGCCTGGCTGATGGCGCGAGTATGCCTGTGGAGGCGGCCGAGTTTAACGAGGTCATGAGGGCTTTGGAGACGGAGAATCTCATCCTGATTAGCGGCGAGGGAGCCAGGAGGAACGTTCGTAGAGTAACAGCTGTTGCGTAAGCTTTGTCTTGTACAAGTGTGACGTCGAGATGAAAATTATACGATATCAAGGACTAGGAAAGGACACGTCTAGGTTTACATGCATGTTGGCGTTGATAGTTTGTTAGATATATCAATGTGCTATATGAATAATATTTCGTTATATAACATTTCCTTTGTCCTATTCACACCTATCCCTTGCGTCGGTCAACAGTGGTGACAGATGACAAATCATATACAAAGCTATTCAGCCTATCCAACCAACTTGCCTACTCAGACAGCCGCCATTATCATCACGTTCGTCCCCTAGAAACTTGTACATATTCGCCCTCATCTTACCAAACCTTTCTTTCTCTGCCCTCAAAGCCAAAGTTCAATGCTACGGCTATAAATAATGACACGCAGAGAACACTAGGTCCCCACTTGTCATAGAATCGAGCCGCCTTGCGGTTTCGAATTGATCTACTTCTGTACAAGTAAATTCCAACTGAATAACACAAGCTCAGGATCGCAAGGAGTGTAAATACGCCTGCGACAAAGAACGATGTAGGAGTTGGATGTTCACCAAAGTTCAGGAGGGCAATAGAAATAGCGCCAATGTAAATGGAGTATTCGAGCTGGTAATGTTAGTCATGTATCTATGTTGTAACTGCGAGTTTGCGCCACTTACCCATCCGAGGAAAGTTCGTTCTGCGGCAAAGTACACCTTGGGCTCGACACGGACAGGAACATAAATTTTTTTGCCAGGTGGTGCTTTGAACTTTTTCTGCTGGATGGAGTTGGAGCCGAAGAGCATTTGGAGTCTAGCACTACGGGGAACCGGTGTACTTCGGGGAGCAGGAATCATGTGCTTCAGAACGTTGAGGGTGCCATCACGGAGTGCCCGCCCTTTCGTGGTAAAGAGGGTATGGTAGTAGTGCCATCCTCCGACTCGTCTTGCTTCTTCTAGCTCGTAATTGGGGTCGTACTCGTCATCGGAATCATAGATTGGATAGTCCTCATCATTGTCAACCGCGTGGTCGGCTGTCTGGCCTTCCGTATCACTTGGTCCAGGAAGCGAGCGTGAGCCAGATTGATCATTCGATGTAGCTGGACGAGCCGCCAACCTTAGTTCCTCGTCATCGGAGTCTAAATCCTCATCATCATCATCCGAGGTGTTGGTTGTTCCCGACAGACCAGGTCTGCGGATACCAAAGTCATGTGAAGCAGGCTTGCGGATATCTACATCCATCTGTGGCATCCAGAAAGGCAAAAGGTTGATTCGATCAGGGAACAAACAGGCCGTACCGTGGATGAACTTGGAGAACTTGGGCACCGCCTCGACCAAATGCGATGCGATGAGCTGCCGCACCCACTCGGGAGGCTCCTGTCCCATTTGGGTCTGAAGTTTCACTTCGAGAACGGCATAGGGGAATCGGACAACATCCTCAGCGGGTAACTGTGAGAATGGCCAGTCGATCCCAATATCCATGCGTCTCCAGTTGTCACCGCTTCGTTGACGTCCGTCGAGGTTGTCTTCACGAACCATAGTAAGCTCGGTATCCAGGGAAATTCGAACCCGAGCGTCCGCTGGAAGCTGGAAGGCAGTTCGGTTGTAAAACGAGCGGCACACAGGCTTATAGCCATGCTTCAACACGGAGTACTGGATTTCAGAGGCTAGCCGCTCATCTTCTGCGATAGCCTTCTCCGACTTCTTGCCTTCCTTACGCGCTTTTTCAAAAATGGCTGCGGGGAGAAGCTCACCACGCATATATGCGTTGACATTCTTCTCCTTGATGGAAAATCGAGCCTTGACGGACTTTTCGCCGGTCCAATCTTCTCGGTGAGTCTTTCGCTCGACGAAAATAGTCTCGTTTTGCATCCCACCATACCATCTTAGTCGTATAGCTTCGGCTCCCTCGGTCTTCTTCAATCGCCCTTCGTACAAGTCCCATTTCTCGGGGTTGTCATAGTAGATAGATGTGATAGCCGAATCTGCCTGCTCAAACTCCTTGCTAGCATTGAACACAAGCACCGGTAAATGCTTTAGGATGATGAGCTTTAGCTCGGTGACGTTGTCAGGATGGACCCAATACTTTGTTGTCTGACGAACAAAGTTGGCCTGGCCTCCTCCAGCAGCACTGTCACCTTTGACGGGGTTGCCGCGGGTTCGAACCACATCGTAGAGCTTAGACAGCTGGATGACGGAAGCATCGTAATTTTCCTTGTAAAACGGCTTTGCCTTGAGCCGGGTGTCAAAAACAGGACGAAGATGCCAGCCCGTCAGTTTCTTTGCCCATGGTTAGCCATTATCAAATTAATCGGCGAGTCACTGTCAGCTTACATCATGCTTCTTAATGATTTTGTAGAAGCCCGTGTAGTTAAGTTGCACAAACTTGGCAAGATCATGGACGTCGGCAATGATGTCACTCAAGTCCTCCTCCAGCAGCAGAAATTCCTCCTCGCTAGGACCGTCCTCGTTCAGGCCACGCTCATTCAATCGATTGACGACATCCTTGACCTCGTGGTCGCTGACTGCAATACGCCTAGAAATTTCCATGGCTTTGACCTGTTGTTTCGTATGCACCTTCTCCAGCTCAGCTTCGAGCTTGCCAACAAATCGTATCTCATCCTCCTCGGTCCACTCGTTTCCAGGGGCACCACCGGCCTTTGAAGGGCCCGTGGCATTTTTAAGATCGGCCTTCAGACCATTGTAGTCAATGTAATACCACTGGTATTCACGGATAATGCTCGAGCGGAGCTGCTCGCCGAACTTCATGACGAATACGCCGGGTTGAGGTTTGAGCGTGCCCTTGGTCGATGCTTTCCAGGAGCTGTTCTGTGTTTTGAAGTCTTTAACAATCAGCATGAGTGACGCCAGGGGGTTAAAGGATCGAAAGGGAGTATGTGTTAGAGGACACAGCAGGAAAACACAGCCAAGACGGACCACGCCGACCAGGCGGGACAGCAGCAGGGAATGAAGCCACTGCACAACCGCACAACTGCAAAACTGCTGCAGGACCGGGTCGGAAAAGAATGAAGGCCAAAATTAATAGCTCACCTCAATTTGGAGATGGACGGCAGACAGAAATGCAGGCACGGCCTGGCCTGCAGCTGGGACAACGAAGAAGCAAGGCGACGATAATGGGGCACCGGATTGAGTGTTGAAGCTCGTGATGATGATGGGTGGAGGCCAGGATGGAAATGGCATTGGCGAATCACACTTCCGACGACAGGAACGTGCGGGCAAAAAGAGGGGTCGACCCAGCAGCTCCGAAGTTATTAAGTGCGCTGACAGGCTCTGAAGTCAACAGCTAGTCGACGACGATCCACAGCAGCTCATTGCTGAACCATGGTGAACCACAGCGCTAATGCTTCTGCCCTGGTTGAAGCTTCCGACCAGCCGGTGCCAATGAGGGCTGCCATTGGTCTGGCATCTGAGAGCCACCAAAAATGGGACCGCTTTCAAGATCTAGCTTGTAGCGGGGCAGTCTAAGTCTGGGCCTTTTTGCTAAGGAAAAAAAAATGAGAAAAAAAAAAAATTTAAAAAACTGATGCAGGCAGTGCTATCAAATTGAGGCTATTCCCAAGGGCGCCACGCGTATATTGACGCATTGCAAAGTCAATTAGTGCGACATCTTAATTCGGTCATTCCATTGAAGCCCATCCTGTCGGCCGGCATCACCATCACCATGTCCACCACCATTGATGACTCCATGCCAACGAGGATATCCTCCGACTGTCCCCAAGACACGCGCGACGTCTTATACCACGCCTGGGGCCACGATCTCTCCAGTCTTAAAAAGCTCCTCGACGCCCCAGGCAAAGCCAGCGCCCAGGATCCCAAAACCGGGGAAACCCCTCTTCACGCCGCCATTCGCGCATGTGGCCCCGCGGGTCCAGACTCGAACAATCCTGAACAAGGCGAAGATGGCTGCATAGAAGAAGCAAGGGCAGTTTTACAGGAACTCTTCTTCTCGGGAGCCATCTGGAACGATGTCGACAGCAACAACGAGACCCCTGGCTGTGTAGCCTATCGATTGGGCCGCAAAGCCTTATACGAGATGTGCGTCGACGCCGGTGTTCGCGCCGAGCTCCTCTTCTCCCTCATGGACGGCTACGAGGAACTCTCGTCGGGCGCAGACGTCGAAGAAGATAAGGATGAGGCACAGGATACTTCTCAAGGCGAACAAGTCCCAGTCAACCAAGACGGCGACGCGATGGACATCAGCGACGACCAGGCTCAACCACAAGACCCGCCACGCTTTATCCCTCCCGACGCCAATGAGAGAACCGTCACGAGCGACGAATACCTGTCCTCTGAACTAACCTACGACTCCTCCAAGCTACTCGACGCAGACCTGAACGGCGTCATGATGGCCTGGGAAACCGACATTATGGCCCGCTCTGTATCCGCCCTCCTCCCCGGCCCCGAAGTCCAAACCGGGAAGCGCATCCTCAATATCGGCTTCGGCATGGGCATCATAGATGGCATGTTTGCCCAAACAAACCCGTCACGGCATCACATCATTGAAGCCCACCCCTCGGTACTACAACACCTCTCCCAGCCGGATTCCAAGTTTGGCAAAAGCTGGGAGAAGTGCGGCGCGGAGGAGGGTGCCTACAAGGTTTGGGCCGGCAAATGGCAGGAAATAGTGCCCCAATTACTGGAGAAAGGCGAGGTATACGATGCAATTTACTTTGACACATTCGGCGAGGATTACTCGCAGCTCAGGATGTTCTTTATGGAGTACGTACCCGGGTTGATGGATCAGGAGGGCAGATTTAGCTTCTTCAACGGACTGGGCGCAGATAGACAGGTCTGCTATGATGTCTATACAAAGGTAGTCGAGATGCATGGCGCAGATGCGGGTCTGGATGTAGAGTGGGAGGTGAGTGATGTTGATATGAAGGGGCTGCGGGAGGATGGGAAGGGTGAGTGGGAGGGAGTGCGGAGGCGGTACTGGACGCTGGATAGTAAGTTGCCTCGTTTGCTTTTAAGTGATTGATGTCATTGATGGCTTGCTTGCTAACTGTTTTAACAGAGTACCGTCTGCCTGTGTGCACATTCATGGGATGAGCGTCAAATAAGTAAAAAGCGAAATAAATAGATGGAACTGTGAGATGTTATCACGTATCAGAATCACAAAGGGCGGAGAAAACATGATACCCAACACGTCAGCCACTCTTTATTGAAGCTGTATATTTAAGTTTTCCCACTTCACATGGACTACATATCGACTGATTTCTGTCATCACGACGTGCCAATTTTGTTTTGAAATAATCTTTTCCTAGGCATGCTCCATTGCCAATTTATTTAAAGTGCTCGGGGTGCAGCACTCCAGCAAGATTGCCAGCCTTGACTCTCTTCAGAGTCAACGCCGCAATCAAAGCGGCGCCTACACCGCTACCGTCCTCGGCAGCAAGAACCTCGATAGGATCCTCTTCCTTGGGATTCGTCTTCTCAGGCCAGTCAAGAATCTCCCGGAGAGCCTGGGCACCACGTTCCTTGAATTGTGGGTACTTATTGAAAACGGATCCATCAGCACCAACATGGCAGGTCTTATAGTTCTTCTTCTTGCAGATAGCAGCAACACCAGTGGCAGAAAGGCGAGCAGCACGAGTGCCGATAAGCTCGGAGAGCCTTCGGATGAGCTCCAATTCTGCTCTTGAGCAGGTAATGTTGAGTTTGGAGCTGAATAGGTCAAAGGTCTCCTGCAAATTCTCAAAAGGATCCCTGCGGTGATGTACTATTAGCAAGGAACGATCACGACGAAATGAAAGCGTCAGATGCTTACTCTTCAATAGCAGAAAGAAAAGAGGAATCCAGAGAATAAGCCTTGCGCAGCAGGGAAATATCTTGGCCAGCAAAGGCATGTACGTCGCGGTTGTCGTGCAAGTCAACCATGACGAGTCGGAAAATTTCGCCAAGATATAGACCAGCAATCATTTTCTCGAAGGCCTGCTGGCCTGGCCGAGGTGAATCACGATCAATAATCTTGTCAAACTCGGTTCTAGGCAGCACCTTGTGCTCGTTGTCAAAAGCACCCCACTCGCAGTTGATAGCCATGGGGGTCTCTGGTGGCAGCTTCATGTGTGCCAGTTTGGGAATAGAGCCAACATCCTCCATGTAGGCAGCATTACAGCCGGTGCCAAAGATGCAACCAATCTTCATCTTTGGGTCAGTGTATGCAGAAGCAATCAGAGTTCCCGTCGTATCGTTGATCAGAGCAGTGAGCCTGATGGGCACGCCCTATATTGATGTCATTAGCACCTGGTACAGGACAGCTTTGAGATTGCACATACCTTCTTCTCGAAGGCAGCATTTAACATTGGAACGACATTCTGCCCTTCGACACCAGCAATGTCGAACCCCTTGGTCCATCTCTGAAGAATACCCTCGTCAATGTAGTTCTGTGTTGCTGGATACGAGAAGGTGAAACCAAGGGGAAGAGTGCCAATGCCAGAGCAACCGCCGTGGTGAGTCTCTACAAACTGCTGCAGACAGTCCGCAATATATTCCCAAAGTTCATCCGAGTTGCCGGTCTTGAGCTCCTCCGGCATACGATACTTGGACTGAAGAATATCGAATTCGGATTTCTGATCGGTCAGGGTAATCTGGCACACACGGAGGTTGGTGCCGCCCATGTCAAGAGCAAGGAAGGTGCCGGTTTCATAGCCATCGGGGAATGACATGACCCAGGTTGGGTTCATTGGCTAAATGAAGATTAGGTATTATTCCGTGCAAAAGTGGTCGCGTATGAGACTCACAATACTGCCGCCCTCGACACTAAGACCTATGAGAACCACCATTAGCCAGTCGTATCGAATTTGTTTCGGCGTGTTGTAGCCATACCCTTGGCCAACTCGGAAATGAAATGGTCGCTTATCTTCTTAAGCGTCTGTGTGTCAACTGTGAAGAGATCCTCGAGCCTCTTGATCTCGTTGAGCAGATCCTGGGGAATATCCGCCTTGGAGCCTGCGGCGAGATTATTAGCCATTGCGATTTATGAATACGTTTGCAAATATGGGTTGGAGAAAGACAGAAGTGTGTCATGAACGATGCGTACATGGTGAAGACATGTTGCAAGGCCCAGCGCTCAGCATCGAAGGATTATAAGTTGTTGCTCAAGTGTTCTGACCCCGCCTGTTTCTCTCAAGCGACACAAACACAGCGCCGCAGTGGCATCCCTGGCCCCTTGATGCCACATTCAAAGCTGACAGGTAATTTAAAACGCCCGAATCACCGTAGAGTTTCTCATCTGTGTTACCCAACCGGTCGGGCCCAAAGCTGGCTGAGGGCGTCTGGCCAATGCGTCGCATGAGACAGCCCATCTCGTGTCGGGCCAGAAGCCTCGAACCACTTGGTCCGTGGACGAGCAGATATGCTGGAGACGTAGAAATTCGTCAAGGGTGTGTATAATACGGAGAATTGCAGTAAAACATCCAGAAAATAAAAATCATTCACTTCCACATACCCTTCCTAAAGGGAGGCGGACGAGGCCCAAGACCAACCATTTTGAATTATGACGACGGCGGCGGGGTGGAGGGGTAGCTTGGACAAGAAGCTCACGGTCGACTGCAGGCTGCAATCGACGGAATTGTTGGATTCTGTGGTGTTGGTCGTTTTGGAATGCGCACTTTGAAGCTGCACAGAAAGAACAAAGATCCTGACGGGGTACACAGGATTTACCAGCGGAGGAGCATGCAAATGTGCTGGCGAGGAGAATGGGAGGAAGGAGGGTGGTGGTGGTGCTTGCACTGGGTATTGGTATTCGTGGAGACCAGAGAGGCCTGCAGGTGATAAGTAAGACTAGACAGCAGGGCATGCAGGTGTTTTACGCACCGAGCTAACGAGTCTGGCAGGAGCTCCTGCTGGCCAGTGCTGCCTGCGCTGGGGCGGAAGCTGCAACCCCGCCAAGGAACCGCCGGATGAGCAATTGATTGCTCATGGCCTAGCACCCGCCTGAGCCCGCCGACCAAGCACTTTAGCACCCTTAATTAAGCTTCATGAGGCACTCGCCAGTGCCAGTGGCGTAGGAAGTTTTGTGGACCAGAGCGATTGCTAAGGCCTCACACGCTATTACATTTGCAAAACGCTATCATGACAAACCATGACAATGGTCCGTCACACTGCTTCCTCCAGCACCCCTTCCGCAATACAAGGCATGGAGGAGCCCGTCAACCACATGGCGCGCCTCATTGGTGTCCATGCCGCTATGGCTTTTACGGAGAACAAAAGAAGTCCGGGGATCAACCATGATCATGGTGATGCGTCCTGCATGCAGATTGACCTGGCAAGAACAAAGCAGCACTTGCACACCAAGACAGTCGGTCTGGACTCGATAACGCGAAGAATGGTGACATAGGAGCTGCCCGTCGGGTCGAAAGATCAATGATTACTCCGAGCCTAGCCTTGTGCCTATCTTATGTAGATTTCTATAACTTTCGGCGGCAGCCTTGTCCCTGTGGAAATGGCAATTGGAAGGAAAGATGGCCCAGTCACTTGTCCCTTCAAAAATAGTCGAGATTGTGTACGCCCAGCACAGGATGACCATGTGTCAAATCACGGTCCAATCCGGCCTCGCATCTGCGACCACCAGCCCATTGACGCCTCATGATCTTCAGATTCTATAGTCTAGCAGAATATACTTGCTCACCAAGCAGCACGCACTAATATATTGTAGTATGTTATCAATAGCATACGATAGCCAGGCACCTGATCAGGTCAAATACTTCTTACCTCCCACTGTAGGCGTTGCGTCTATAATTTGCAGTACACCAATTACTCTTGCTTTCAAATATCCTAAACACGGCATTTGTGAGTCGCTCGTCACCCGCCGAATCTTCCTATCTTTGCTCGCTGGCCCAAGTCGCCCGTCGCCTTCGCCTTCGCCCTGGCGGACAAACAATGCAAAGTGACCCACTTCTCGTCCATGATTGGCTCCCAAGCTGCAAGCTCAGGAAACGTATGCCGTTTGGAAAGGAGCTTGCGTCAAGGTGTCTCTTAAGAATCCGAGCGACATCATTCTTGGATCTTCACAACAACATAACCGGGCGCACGCGCAACTCAATGAGGGCCCTTTCCATTCATTTGTCAAAATGAAGCCATTATCGATTGCATCAGCGTTGCTGGTCGTCGCTTCCAGCGCCCTCTCCGCTACCGCCGCCTCCTCCAAGAATTCACAGCCTGCACAGTTCAAGCCGCCGCAGGTCTTCAGAAATGCCAACTTAGTCCACATCATTTCCTTGGAAAAGAACTACGCCAAGGAACAGATTAATGTTCTCATAGAAAACGTGTCCAATGAGCCTCAAAGCGAATACTATCTGCCATTCACCGCGGAACAAATTGCTCGCGTTGGTGGCTTCGAAGTAAAGGACCGCAAGAATGCAAACGCTGGTCCGTTTGTTTCTGAAGCCGTTGAATATGACCCCAACAGGTTTGTCGACTACTTGCCAGTGTGTTATTATATTCTACGAGAGCTAATCATTGGCTCCAATCCCTCAGTGATGCTCAGTACTATCGTATTCATCTCCCAGCCCCTCTCAAAGCCGGTGGTCAACAAACCCTCGGCATATCCTTCTACAACCTGAAGGCTTACAGACCCCTTCCCGCCTCCATTGCGCAGGACGAGAGGCAATATCTCGTCCACGATTTCTCCGTCTATGCGCCATCCGCCTATCCTACCTTGAAGCAAAAGACCGAGGTCAAGGCTGCGTCATCCACAATTCCCGACTATACCAAGATCACCGAAGGCAAGGAGGAGCTCCCGCAGAAGCAGGGTGCCAAGCTCATTTATGGTCCCTTCGGTGAGAAGCCTGCTGGAGCCATCTCCCCTGCCGAAGTTCGATTCGAGTTCACCAAGCCCGTCACCCATGTTTCTACCCTAGAACGCGATATCGAAGTCAGCCACTGGGGTGGTAACGTCGCCTTCGAGGAGCGATATGCCTTGCACCACCGGGGTGCCAATTTGTCGTCACCTTTTAACCGAGTCAAATATGCACAATCCGCCTTCTTCAGTCCTGCTTCTTCAGCCCTGAAGGAGCTACGTGTCCCCCTGCAGGTTGGTAGCGTTGATCCGTACTTCACCGATGTCATTGGCAACGTTTCAACGTCCAAGTTTAGAAGCAACAAACGCGAAGCATTGCTGGAGCTCAAGCCCCGGTACCCTCTCTTCGGTGGCTGGAACTATCCCTTCACCATTGGCTGGAACTCGGATGCTGCCAACCTTCTCCGCAAGACTGCAGCTGGTGGCTATGTCCTGAAGGTTCCTTTCCTCGAGGGCCCCAAGCAGGCTGAAGGTGTTGAGTATGGACAGGTTATCATCCGCGTGGTTCTGCCTGAGGGAGCTCGGTAAGCCATACGCCCCAAAGCCATCATGTCGGAAGACAGCAGCACTAACGATAGATGCAGCAATGTCAAGTATTACACTGGTATCCCCGAATCGTCCATTGTCAAGACTTCAGTCAACGTTCACAAGACTTTCCTCGACACCCTGGGCCGCACCTCGTTGACAATCAAGGCACAGAACTTAGTTGACGAATTCCGCGACCGCGATGTCATCATTTCATACGAGACTTCAACGTTTGATACCCTGCGAAAGCCTTTTATTGTGTTTGCTAGCATGATGGCTGTGTACGCAGCTGCCTGGGCAGTCGGTCAGGTGGAGGTTGGGTTTACCAAGAAATAAAGAGAGTTCCATGGAAGGAGTGGATAGACATTACAGTTAGGAGGTGTCATGGGGGTAACAGTAGAAAATGTACCATACGGGCGTTCCAAGATACGAATCTGCACGATAGATTTTCAACCAGGATGATGACACTTGGGTGAGAGAACTACTCCGTATGGTGACTGGTCTTATACCTAGGCTGCTAGGCTTTACAGACAGAGCATGGGACTCCTTTCACTATGCGAGGCAATTGATTCCACCTAGCCATGTAGGTACGCAAGTAGAGAGTTGCAAGCCATCACGTCATCAAATAGCGCATCAGCCCTACCATTAGCAGTCTCACAATGAGGCCCAAATCCAGCCTTACTTCACCCTTCACAAGAAAGGCTGGTAATCGCCGCCATTCGACGACCAACAAGTGGAGGCCCGGGGCAATGCATCGTAATGCATTGTAATGCGCCGAGCGATGACGGCAACGGCGAGGGATGCGCCCACCACATGGCAGGGGTTTCACAACAAGGGTTCCCAAGCATCAAACATGCTGACTGCGTGCGGCACAGCCATAACGGGACAATGAGTCTTCTTGTACATATAAAGAGAGCCTTGATTCCCTCTCCCTCGGTTGATTCCAGGCCCCGTCACCACGCTCACTTTGCCCACGGCTTCGTCTTATTCACAGGCCACAGAGCTACACTGCGCGACGGCTTATCCACGCCTCACTCGATCTGGGATCATTCAAAGCAAAGCAAACCAGTCCAAAATGTGTTTCTGGGGCGAACCAAAGACCAGATACTACTACAAGGAGGAAATCGTTCCCCCTCGACGGCACCACCATCACGGCCACCATCACCACCATCACCATTCACCCAGGGCGAGCTACACAAGCGTCATGCGGGAGTCGTACCGGACTAGTCCGCGGGTAAGCGGGTCGCATTATCGACCTCCGCCCGGAGGGACCGTGGTTTACGAGAGGACGCGGTACTAGGCCTAGAGGTGTTGATTGCCGGCGGGCTGAACAAGGTGGTGATTGCCGAGTTTCTCCACGATGGCCCAATGTGACCTAATGCGCCCGGATAGGCCGGTGCTGGAAGGCTGGAAGGCTGGAAGCCATGGGAAGTGCCTTGGCTTAGCTGTACGACGATGAGCGACGATGAGGTATGAGTGGGATGGCGCAAGAATCTAATGGGTGGTTTCTGTTTGGGATTGTATCTTGATTTAGATGGAAGGGCGGTGTTGGCGGGCTTTTAGGCAACTCTGGCTTCTAACTCTGTAGCAGATGTTATAACGAGCTATTATTTTACTCTTGAACTACGGATGAGACCTGGGTTATGATGCGAACGTAACTGATTTGCTGGCGGGTAACGAGACGAGGGGGACTGCGGTGGATGAAAAGAAGGAAGACGTCATGGCAAGACGACCTATGCCGGGGCATGCATTAAAGCTCGAATCTTGGCGTCTGACAAGCACCTGAACCTGGTGAAGCGGTGGTCATCGGTGGCCTGGCGCTGGCAAGGCATTTGGGCATTAAAGGTCAATCCACTCGCAGCCAGTGGCTGGCGGCTGGAGGCTCCATGTCCGATGTCCGATGTCCTGGTGTCGGCGGGGTGGGGACTGGACATCAGGATCAGCTGAAGCTGTTGGTCGCTGCAAATACTGCGTAGTAGTACTCCAGCCTCAGTTGAGCCTGTGCCCGTCATTCGCATCCTCCCAGTGAATGACATCAAGGCGCATCAATCCCGTCACCACGAGCAAGGCTTCATCCCACAGTTGAGGAAGCTTTCCAAGACACCCCTTACCTCTTGGCGTCTGTACAGGCCAGAATAATAGTCCGGAGATTTATTTCGACGGCCTGTGTCTCGTCCAGCTGTTTCCCTCGAGTGAAAAAAAATTAAACTGGTGCTTTGTTCAGCCTGTTTGCCCGACACCCAACACAAACTTGCATCACCGTTCCCGTTCCCTTCCTGTTAAAACCCTACTTGCGCCTCTTGCTCCGCTGGGCTTGGCTGACACTCCGCTCCTTCCTTTCGCGCTTCGTATACCCGGGATTTGCTGTTTAATTACTGGGATCCCTGGCTTGCCATCTCGCGCAGCTTGCTAGGATCTAAGCTAACGCACAAACTACTCGACGCTGATTGTACGTGTGTCTATACATCTTCTACCGGAGCTTGGCGGAGAGTTGCCTCAAGTTGAGGAGGCTGGATAGGCTTCTCGGAGAGCTTGGTGAGCACTGTGAGCTTGAGCTGACATGGAATCATATTCGGAAGCAACAGACAGCGTACCTGCCTCTACTTCGACACCGCAGTTGCCTCGAACCCAAAGATACCCCGAAGCCGCCGCTATGTAAGTGACTCCGACGATGCCGCGTCCTACAACACCACGCGGGCCATAGCAGACAGCTTTAGTTTTTGTGCTCCAGTGACACTGCCATCCTTTCATCATGTCGCGATCAAGCTTCGACGGCTCCTTTATGCATCTTGGTCCAGCCTACCTGCGCTACCACTCTGGCGAATCGGTAACTAACAGTCCTCCCACCCACAGGAATCGCGCGCTTTCTATCCGCTCTGGAGGCAAGTCCGGCAAAGGCTCCAGCTCCGGCAGCCAGCTTCCCAGCTTCTCCTTCAGCTCCCTCCGCGGCCAGGCTCAGCCCGAGCTGTCACGCAAGCTGTTCAAGCTCATCAAGTCCGAGAATAACCTGATTAATGCTCACGAAGCCGCTGGTCGTGAGCGCATCAACATTGCTACTCAACTGTCCGAATGGGGAGAACAGACTGGTGACGACGCCATTAGCGACATTTCTGACAAGGTTGGTGTGGTTTTGAGCGAGATTGGCGAGCAGGAAGACACCTATGCCCATGCGTTGGACGACTCTCGTGGACGCCTCAAGTCCATCCGTAACACGGAGAAGAGCGTCCAGCCTAGCCGTGATGGCAAGGCCAAGATTGCCGACGAGATTGCGAAGCTCAAGATGAAGGAGCCCGAGAGTGCTAGACTGGTTGTCCTGGAGCAGGAGCTTGTCCGCGCTGAAGCCGAGAATTTGGTTGCCGAAGCCCAATTGAGCAACATTGTGAGTGCGCCATGAGGATAGCCCATGTGGCACTGTTTGGAAAAAGGCTGCTAATGCGCTGAATAGACTCGCCAGAAGCTCAAGGAGGCTTACGATGCCGAGTTCCTTGCCACCATCGAGCGAGCAGAGAAGCAGATCATCCTTGCCAAGCACGGACGCCGTCTCTTATCTCTTCTCGACGATACACCAGTTATTCCGGGTGACACTCGGCCCAACTACATCGAGAGTAGCCAGGCTCGTCAGATCCTCAACGACTGCGAGGATGACCTTCGAGACTGGCGACCAGAGGTCGAACCGTATGATGCCCCAGTTGAGGAGATTTCCCCTGCAAAAGAGAAGCAACCAGCTCTCGACGTTGAGGCGGATGATGGCGCAAAGGAGACTGAGGCTGGAACGAAGATTCTGGGGTCGGCTTAACGATTTGTATAACTTTTGAAACGATTACTGCTTATCAGGTTGGTATGACTCTGTTTTTTTATTGGGTTTGGGAATTCTGGTGCTTCTTGTTATGCCTGCTACAAGGGGCTGCTCTGTGATGTAGGTTGTACTGGGTTTACTATGTATCGAGTAATGCAGCCTAGTGTCCAATAAATGGTCTAACTCGGCAAATCTTCTTTTGTTACAGCTTGTGTTCGATTGATGCCATCTCAATTCAAATGATTCATGGAAGGCGAACCGTGGCTCGACAACTTGCCGACACACAAGGTGAAGAAGCGCAGATGAGGAGTATCCGACATAATAAAGCGTCTGCATATGAGATACAGAGTGCCATGTCCTTCAAGGTGCCGCTGTCTATATGAATTCGAGCTGACAAAGCTACATAATCTGGAACCTGGCCTGTCCAGCGCTGGTGTGCCAGACCAGAGTCGTGAAACCTCGAGGACGTCCGCCCAATATTGCAACCGATGAGTAACTGGCTGGTAGTCGGGCGGTAATGTTGCGCCACCAAGAATGATGTAGTTATTGTGTGCACAGTTTACACTGGAGGCAAACAAACAGACCAATTTTGGAATGCGTAGGCACAATGCTGCCGTAACGCTTCGTGCTACTGAGGCCAGGTGATGATGTTGGGGGCGGTGGCTGGCGCATCGTGGGCGTTGCGAGAGTCCATACAATGGGATGCGTATGCTTCCCAGGAGACGAAATATACTCCGTACTCCGTACACAGTCACGCAACATTACAAACAAGAAGAGTAAACTCGTCAATGGTACATGGCGCAACAGAAAGAGGCGAGGTGACGCCAGGGCGGGCTAGAACGGCATTTGGCCCACCAGACCGTTACCCCCTGTTCCGTGTCGGTGGCCCCTGCTCCGTAATTATTGGCGCCAGAGCAGCCAGTGTTCTCAGTTCCAGACTGGATGTCTGCATGTGGTCGCTCCCGTGCTTGCCCGAGCCTCAATTTCGTCGCAACTCCGACGGCCAAACCGCTAAAAAACCACCGCCTAGCGTCTAGCCGTGCAGAAGCATCGAGTGAAAATAACCTCGGTTTTGAAGTGCTCATTCCCACTCTCCCGGATCCGCGCACGCCAGTCCAACCAGACCAGACCAGACTGCGAGGCAATTAAAGACTGGCACGCCCCCTTTTGCCCAACGCAGAACAAACAAGCCCAATTGATGCTCTCCCAACGTGGATTTCGACTCCAAGACCCGCGGCGTCTGCAGAGTCTGTTGCAGCTGTTGAGCCGGGCCAATCACAACATTGTTGGGTCAGACACAGCATCGCGAACTGGACCGGACACAAGGTCAACAAGATCGACTTCGGTCAAACGGCAAGGCCAGCAATCGCCGACGCTGCTAACAGCGACTCTGGGCAGGTGTCAACCAGAACCAGGGGCAACCGCCGGTGCAGCGCTCTCAGCGCCGTCGGGGCCGCGGCAAACGGTACATGTACAGAGCGCTGCTGCTGCCACAGCCTCGCCCTCCGTCGCTGCTATCTCTGCCTCGCCATCTGCGAGGTTCCCTACTAGGATTATGGCTATGGGTCTGCAAGCCCCGCCCCCTCTTTTTCCATCCCACCGAATCACCTCATCCATTGTCTCGTCACAACGAACTGCGCAAATTGCTCGTCACCTGTCGGGCTCTGCTACCCAATCTCTCTCCTCTACACCTTCCTCATCGTCATCACCATCCTCTGCCTCATTCACGTCACCCAAAATGGCTTCCGAAGTCAGCTACGCCGTTCGCAAGAATGGTGCCCTCAACTCCCCGGAATTCAAGCTCTACATCGAGCAGCAGGTTCACCAGAAGGGGGCCAAAGTCAGCAGCAAGGTCATCTCCCCCTTCCACGATATTCCCCTGTATGCCGACAAGGAGAAAGGCATTCTCAACATGATTGTTGAGATTCCCCGATGGACCAATGCCAAGCTTGAGGTATGTATGAGTCACTTTTTACTTGTGTGTTTGTTTTGAAGCTCTGTTTGCTTGACAGAGAAGTTGGCAACGGCCCCGATTTTTCCTGCACGCAAATAACATTGATGGCCATTGCGCCTCCGCTCAAAACGAAGGGGAAGAAACAGTCTTGCTAACCATCACTCGTCTCAACCAGATCTCCAAGGGACAGGAGCTCAACCCAATCGTGCAGGACAAGGACAAGACAGGCGGCCTTCGATTTGTCCGCAACTGTTTCCCCCACAGGGGCTATCTGTGGAACTACGGTGCCTTCCCCCAAGTAAGTTACATTGCATTGGCCAGCATATTGTCTTGTTATGACTTTGGTAACTGACCCTCTTCCTCAGACATGGGAGGACCCCGCGCATGAAGACCAACACACCGCGGCCTATGGTGACAACGACCCTCTTGACGTTTGCGAGATCGGCGAGCAAGTTGGTTATACCGGACAGGTCAAGCAGGTCAAGGTTCTCGGTATCATGGCCCTTCTCGACGAAGGCGAGACGGACTGGAAAGTTATTGTCATCGACGTCAATGACCCCCTGGCTCCTGAACTCAACACCGCCGAAGATATCGAGTCCAAGCTGCCCGGTCTTCTGCGTGCCACTAACGAATGGTTCCGCATCTACAAGATCCCTCACGGCAAACCTGAGAACCAGTTCGCTTTCACTGGCGAGACCAAGAACAAAGAGTACTGTCCATCCTGCACGATCAAGGCTACTAGTTGCATGCTAACATAATGTTGAAGATTTGCCAATGATATTATTAAGGAGTGCCACAAGGCCTGGAGCCGCCTCCTCGACGGCAAGACGGAACCCCGACAAGGCCAGAGAGAGAAGGCCGCCGATAAGATCAAGATGTAAGACACCACAAAAGCGTATTTTTCGTAGCCATTGTACTGACACGTGTTCCAGCACCAACACTACACTTGTGGGCAAGGGTGACTACAGGGCTACGCCTCCCGAAGTGAAGCCTCACGAGGAGCTCCCCCCTGCCGCCGTCGATCCCACCTCTGAGAAATGGTACTTCATCAGCGGTAACTCAGCTTAAACATACAGCATGCGTGGGGGGGCGCAGAATAATTTATGCGTATCATGAATATAACAAAGAGTAGTCAGGCTGCATAGCAACCCCCTATAAAGAGTATACAAAAAGTCTTCTGCTTTTAGCAAATCTATTCATTGTACACGCGTAGACCTGCGATTTGGGCAGCATCTCGGTAGTCCCCATTGTAACACAAAAACGCCGCAAATGCAGACAGCAGGCTAGTATTATAACACATGTTTAATCCGTTAAGTCGGCTGCCTTTTGCAGCTGGCGAGAGTGCCGGTTCACTTCTTCAACAAGTCCCTTGATGTTCATCTTTCCGCAGTCGAAGTTGAGCTCCTTGCCGTCCTCTGCAGATTGTCAGCGTTTTCGTTCGCCCAAAATCACACATCAACAGGCCACATACTGAACTTGACTCTTACCGAGCTTGCCTCGGTCGAATTTCGAGGAAGAAGAGTTGTAGATATCGACGTGCCGTTGGCACGGGCATTAGGAGGCAGAAACGTGAGGAACAGTCGGGCGGGTTTTGCGCATGCCGAAAACGGGTTGAACTTGGCCGAAATCTCGGTCACGAATTTCGTAATCATCTCGAGGACGGGGGGCACCGCGCGGAGCGACCGGACCAGGCGGGAGGAAAGAAATGGCGATTGAGGCTCAATTGGCGCCTTGATCCCATCCCAGAAGTGTGAACCTGTCGGCTGGTTCGTCGGGCGAGTTGAGTGCGCTGCGGCTCCACGTCACGTGGTAACTGGACGTTTTTGCTCTGCGCCAAAAAAAAAAGCTTATCGAGGTCCCGCAGCGACATGGAATAAAAGTTGCTCGCTTGGCTTCTTCTTTTCTTTCTTCTTTTCTCCTCAAGCATCGCCCTCTGGGAAACGCCGCGCTTCCATGCTGACAAACGGAGATTTTCCCCTACAATCTACATCTGTAGATTTGGAGGGGGAGAAAAATCTCAAATTTCTGCCACCCCCTGTGGAATGGCAGAAAGATACTTTGCATGTGAGAAATTCGGAGAAGCCTCTACACTGAAAACTTGGAAACTTGTTTTGCCGCGGTCGCTCTTTTTAACGAGAAGGACGGGCCTGCCCGTGAGGGCTCGGCGTCAATCGACGTCCGCAGTTGGCATCAGAAATATCAGGGTCGCCAGAGCCCTCTTTTGGGGGGGTTTTTTGGTCGTCTCCTCTGGGAAGCTGCTGCGCAGATTGTGTGTTGACACTTGAGTGCGATGCGTGGCGTGGCGAAAAGCCATGATTCGATTCCGATTATTCTTCCTGGAGGGCGATGCTTCACCTTTTTTTTCATCTAGGTATGTTGCGCCTTTGCAGTGGCAGGATGATGCTAACTTTGGTGCCTGGGCTTGGTCTGGGCTGGTGGTGACGGGGTTGAGGGAGGAGTTGATGAATCATTGGCATGGTTTTTGAGTTTGGGCTGGGCTTGGATAGCTTGGTAGTTGAATGGGAAATTTTGATGCCTTGATATTGTGTCTGATGTTTTGGTATCGTGTGCCGTTTTGTTCTTCACTTTTACGTGATGCGTCTATGAGCTGAAGGGATGGCGCCTGTGCGAAATTAGTTCCCAGTTTGGTACTCCGTACATACATCTTTGGCATTATGCCATTCTCGGAAAATGGTATCAATGAATATCGAATGTAACAATTTAAATCTCAATCTCGGATATTATGTTTCCCAAGTTGCTAGTCCTGAAATGCCAGACGTCGCGATGCTGAAGCTCGAAAACCAATGCGCCAATCAGTCCAAACGTACCACGTCACAGCCCCACATGTGCAGTTCCCGAAAGCTGCCATGGTGTCTCGAGACTATAAACCAGTCCAGTCTAGGTGGCAGTAATTCTAGTCCTGCAACCCCCAAATATACGCAGAAGAGGACGTGTTCCCTCCAAGGCCCCGACAATGCCCCTAGCAGCTTTGCAAGAGCGGTTTACCGCTCTGCAGGAGACCACAACCCAGCTAAGGGAGTTGATCGACCGGCTCGCCCATCTCGATTTCCAACCCGGCTCCGTGCCCCAAGGGACGGACGAAGAAAGCAGCATAAGCGGCGAGTTGAGCGCAGAAATCAGTCTATTGCTACGAAGTGGCCTGGAAGAGCAAGAACTCCTCCGGGAAGAAGTCAAGTTCGTCCGGCCGGATGGTGACGACAAGACGATATTAAGGGATGGTGTTGAACGGCTTGGGGCCGAACTAGTCAAGTAATTTTTACCCTTTTACTCTCTCTCCCTCTCTTTCTCCGTGCTGACCGAACAGCTGCCGAGGCGACTTTCGAAAAGCACGACTCGCAGCGCGAGAAGCCCTGGCCAAGGCGCAAAAACTAGAACGCCAACTCCTCGTCCAGTCCTACTCCCTGCCCGTCTCCGAGCCAGATATCCCCCAGCCCGAAGCCGAGGAAGCACCCGCGCCTGCGCCCGTGCCCCGGCCCCAACGATACGTCCAACAGCACCACCAACACTCCAATCTTAGTCAAGACGAACGGCGAACCGTCGGCGCGAGCAGCAACGTCACCAATGCGCTTCGCCGCACGCACGACCTCATCGCTGCAGAGCTCTTCCGCAGCGAGTATGCACACCAGACTCTTACCGAGTCTTCTGCTACGCTGAAAAAGCTCGATGAATCATATACCACCATGGGTAGCATGCTTGCCAGCTCAAAGGACTTGCTGGGGACTTTGCTACGGTCACAGAAGAGCGATACATGGTATTTGCAGACGGCCATGTATATGCTGATGGTGACGGGGGCGTGGTTGTTATTCAGGCGGCTTTTGTACGGGCCCATGTGGTATTTGGTTTGGTTGCCGCTGCGGATAGTGTTTGCAGTAGGGTCCAAAACGGGCAGTGCTATGATGCCGCGGGGGGCTGGAGAGTCCGGGAAAGTCGGGGGCGTGGGAGAGAATGCAAAGGTCTCCGTAGAAGGTCTGCCTAGAGAGGATTTGCCAACGGCGCAGGTGAGAGAGAAGAGGGATGCGGGTGGCGGTGGGGATTCTATGATTGAAAGGGTTGCTCAGGCTGTGGAGGAGGCTGATCGGTTGGGGAATCTGGCCGAGGACGAAAATGAGAATCCGGAAGATCAGCCGAGAAATCCTTTGAAGAGGGTGTGGGAGCCGGAGCCTGACACACAACGCGACGAATTGTAAGGTGCTGGTTATACAAGGCATATATTATAAAAGAAAAATTCGACATCTTCCCCATACTCCTCGTTCTGTTGAAGATGGAAGCTCCTAAACTTTTGCGCTCCTTCCGTGGTCTAAATTCTCAATGCGCCTCATAATCGTTGAAATATGTATATATCCCTTGCCACCAAGTATACCACAGCCAAGACAATCAGGGTCGATCAGGCGCAACACGAGCAATATCACTGATCCACGGGATACCCAGCTTCTTCATCTCCACCGCCAACTGGAACAAATAATCCAGACTGTGTATTAGAAAAAAAAGTCAGCCCTTGCTTTTGTATCTTCATCCTTCATTTTTGGTCTTGGTTTTCCTCCTCACTGCACAAACATATCGGGAAATTTGCGAGGTCAAAAAAAAGAAGCAAGAAAAAACTCACCTCTCACACATAGTTTTTGCCTTGTGCACATTATCCCCCCATACATAAACCCCATGCCTCCTGACGAGCACGGCATACGTATCCGGATACCTGTCCATAGCCTCCTCCAGGTACTCAGTCAGGTCCTCCTCATGCGGGGTGTTCTCAATGACAGGAATCCTCAGTGTGTCATGGTAGCCCAGGTTGCCCTGCTTGGTGGTGCCCCTGGCAAAGCCCTTGATCTGCTCGATGTTGTTGATCTCAAAGACCTTGTCGAGGCCGGGGCCCTGGGTCTCGAGGAGCAGAGTGACGAGGACAGCCCACTGCGAGTGCGTATGGATGCAACAGCCGGCGTTGCGACGCGTGAAGGCGGCCAGGAAGAGGGGCGTGCACTGCGACGGCTTGTAGCACGGCGGCGAACGGAGGTAGCTGCGCTGTTTGAGGGTCGGCTCCTGGGCGGAGAGGGAGAGCACGTATATGTCTGTGTTTTTCATGAGTTCCTTCTGGACGCCCGAGGGCGCGATGTAGACGAGGTCTCTGGTTTGGCCCTCATTGTGAGTATGACGTGACTAGCTGTATGGGCGATGAGGAGGCGGCGTGGTGGTCTGGTACGTACTCATCGCGGATTGAGCATCCTCCTCCAGTGCCCGTCACCCATCCCAGGGTCCAGAACTTGGCGCACAGCGAGGGGATGAGGTTGGCGGGATGCTCTGGGTTGTCGGAGGTGATGAGCTGGTCGGCGGCGTCGTTGTCAAGACGGGCCTTCTTGTCGTCGTGCAGCGTTGCCATATTGACCGTTTCGGCGAGGGGGGAAATCCGTTCAGATATAATCTCGGTACAGGGCCCCCCTGGGTCAGCAGTTCATCACAATTGGCGAGTTTCCTGGAGGCTGTGATGTTTGAGGAATTGGGCAAACGGTGAAGTACGGGTGGGGCTGGCTGACTCTGCTCCTGCCTTCATGAACGAACGGGGTGGCATGTACTACTACGGAGCAAGATTATTCTTTTTCTTATTTGATTCTTCTTATTACTCTGCACATGTACCGGTAGAAACGTGGGCAATGGATACAAGCCTGCGGTTGGACCATGGCTCCATGGGTTTCAGCGGAATCTACTCCGTACTTTGAATCAGCTTCTAAAAGTAGTCCGTAGATGCTCGTGGTTGTCTTCGCAGTGCGGGTTGGCCAAGGATGGCTGGCGGGCTTGACCGTCACAGCCCGCCCCTCCAATGTTGTCAAGGCTTGGTGTCAGGACTCGGGACAGTCAGTCGAGCGTCGCATTTTAGTAGTAGTAGTCGGTAAAATTGATAAATTTTATCTCAAGTTCATCACGCGACATGCCTCATTTCCAGGACAGGGAGCTGACAAGCAATTGTCTCGAATTTTCCGCAGTCGGCAGTTCAAGCTGTCGCGGCGCCCGGCCCGTTTGTACGATTGCCTTTTTGCTAGGGGTACAAAAAAGTAAGGACTTTGTCTTTTATTAATATTGCTCCTTTGAAGTACGGAGTGAGGAGTTGAGGCGGTGGCCATGCTCAGCCACGACATCTGGACGCGCTACAAGCGCGACGGTTGAACCTTCCATGGTGAGCACACAAGCTTTCGATGTTACCTAATACCCGTCAGCCCCTTGCTTGATATTACCCAGAGAGCATCTTGAGCAAGCGGTCCGCAGATCTTGGGCAACTGACCTCCAAAGAAACACGAGCAAAGGCCCAATCTCGTATTTTCGACGACACAATCGTTTTCAGTGCTTCATGCTCGATATGCTGTGTGCCACATGTATCGACTCTCCCGCCTTTAAACCCGAAATCAACAGACTAGGCCAATACTGCATGGATCCATTGACAGGCCTGTTCATTGCGCCCACGTCACATCTTGCGTCCCATCGTCCCCATCCGCATTGGTGATCTGGGACAAGCGCTCGGTTCCCGGACATGAAAGAGCTGAAGGTTGGCCAAGGAAAAAAGAGACGAGGTCACGAGCATGCCAGGTGCCGCAATGTTCAGCGCACAACCCCGTCAACGACTCAACGTCCATGTCAACATGCTCCCTCTCCTACGGAGTGCGCAGTAGTCGTATGACCGAGTGCTCTCTGAGGACATCTGGAGATTGCTCACGCTTCGGAATGGGCCTGGCGCTGTTCCCGGGGAGATGAATCACATACAAGCCAGGCAATGTTTTCGGCGCCGGAGTGGCAACCAGAATTCCTACTCCGTACTCCGTACTGAATCACTGCAATGTCAAGTCTTGTCTCGGAGTGAGACGACAATCGGCCGACTCCACAGGACGAGACCATGAACTTGGCAACCAGACAAAGCCGTCCGCCACTGAGTGTGGAGGAAGCTGCTGCTACCTGCCATGAGGCCAGGAGGCCTGGTGGTGGGACGTGATGCGCGTTGACAGCTCAATTTCAATCCGAGTCCATCATGCGGCCATGCCGTCTCGCTGAGCGCAATCATACTCCAGGGAAGGGAAATGGAGCTGTATGTACGAAGAGTTACAGAGCACTACCGTATACAGACCACCTAGTAGTACTCCGTACATGAAGATAAAACAGCAGCGCCAGATTTCACACAATGCCAATTATTCAAGACGGTTCCAAGGTCGGCTCATGAGGCTGCTCCGGCCAGACGTATTTCGTACATTGTAGGGAACAGGGGCGTCTGTCTGTGTGGCATCGTGTAATTAACAATGCACCGCTTGCAAGACTCGGCAGGAAAACTTGAAATAGGACGGCGTGTTGTACTACAGTTACGACGTGCTGTACTCCGTACAACGGGCATGGTATCACTCTGCAGATCCCCCAGGCGCCAATGGACTCATTTCACGGCCAATTGGGACCTTGTTGCTTGTTTATGCGGATAAATGCGCCAGCCCTCGGCCCTCGACATGTATACAGTACCTGGCCCTCCAGGACCTCCAGGACCACCGCAGGCACTAGCAACGGCCGACACGAGAAACGACCGGGGTTGAGGTGCTCGAGTGGCAGGGGCCACATTGCACATTGGCCAGTGGCGCAAACGGACGGCAGACGGCGGGCAGCCCTCTTGCCTTGGCTGGTGGCAACGGGCAACTGGCAAAACTGGGCCCATGTCGTCCATGTCCCAACAATAGCACGAGCCGTGTGGTCGCCCCAGATACCCCTGTCGGAAAAGTTCCTGTCGGCACCAATTGACCCCTTGCTGCCGCCCAGGCCGCCCTTAGCTGTGCTGGTGCCAGGGCGCGAGGCGAGACCGCCAGCACCATAATACGTGGACACAAACAAAACAGTGGCATGGGCTACTCCATGTCTGTACCCCATACGGAGGACGTGCCGCACCAGCTGCCCGTCACCCCTGGTAAATAAAGGACCTCGCTTTCCCCCGTGACTCAATCGAGACCTGCCCCTTGCCCTTCGATCTCTTTCTCTCACACGCGTGTCCTCCATTTATACATAAGTCTCTCGCTTCGGTCAATCACTCTTTCTGCTGCTTCGCCTTTCAGTACTCCAGCACAGCCTTAATACCGTCCAAGTTTCTACACTTTCGAGTCCAATCGTCAAGATGCGTTTCACCACCTTCCTCGTTTCTGGCGCCCTGGCTGCCGTTGCTGTCGCTCAGTCTAGCACCCCTTCTGCCACCCCTCCTGCCACCACTTCTGCCAGTGCCCCTGAATCACCTGCCGACAGGTGTCTGAAGGCCTGCGCGGCCAGTGATGTCAACTGCAAGGCTCACTGCATCACTGTAAGTCGACTTTTCAATCGTCTTTTCTTTACTAGTTGGTCGTGCGCAGGCCACTTGGTGTTTGCGTGAATCTATCTCGCCACTGTGCTAGCCCTAGCCAATGGATTGTCGCTCGCCCATCTTCTAGACCATACGCTGACGGAGCAATTGCCACAGGTTCCTTCTCCTAACGAGCAGAACATCGAAAACACCAACAAGTGTGTTGCGGCCTGCCCCAAGGGTGACGGCAGCCCCGAACAGAGCCAAAAGTACAGTGATTGCTCTCAGAAGTGCATCACTGATAACTACTACGCCTCCAGCGAGGGAACTCCCAACCCTACTGGAAGTGCCGGTAACAACGGCAACAACGGTAATAATGGTAGCAACGGCAGTTCTGCATCTGGCTCCGACGCCGCGCCCACTGCCACTGGCACTGGCGCTGGTGCTTCTCCTTCCGGCACTGCCTCTGGCACTGGTTCTTCTGGCTCCCAGACCACTGGCTCGGGATCCGCGTCGGGCACCCAGACTGGCACCGGAGCTTCTGCTACCAAGACTGGCGCCGCTGCCGGCCTCACTCTCGGCTCGTCTGGTGCCTTTGTCGGCGCCCTTGCCGCCCTTCTTGCTCTGTAAATCCCAATTTTGATGTACATCTTTTGGTTGTCTGAGATTGGTTGGAATACGATATTAATGCGGATGTAATGGGAGCACCTGTATTTGTATTGTATGTAGTGTGCGTGGTGAATCAAGGGGAGGGGGACGTTAATACCCATAATTTGGATGTGGTTCAAAATGAAACAATAATTTGGTCCATGATAATCGGTTCTGCTGCGAGCTAAATCTTATGTTTGTGCGACTTGGCTATGACGTGCATTGGGCCTAGTGACATGGGCGATGTGCAATATCGCC